ATCCAATAGATCATGATGAACTCGTCCCTGCTGTGCAAACGTTTTCAAAAACGAATGAAAAACGAATAAGATACCATATGGTATGCAATTGGTACCGAGAGGCCAAATTTTTTTTCCCTAAAAAAAATTGAAAATTGATCTCATTTTGTAGAGCACGATGAACTCGTTCCATCTGTGCAAAAAAAATTAAAATCCGAGTTAAAACGAAAAAGATATGAGTCAATTAAGAAAGCTAGTGAAAATAAAAATGGCATTTAATTCTCCATCTTTAGATCTGGATTTTCTAAATGAAGGGTCCAGATTTGGTTATTGATGGGTGCATAACCATGGGTTATGCACCCTATCTTGAGCCGCCAGATACGCTTGCTCTCTCTTTCCTCCCTAATTTTATTATTTATTTATTTCCATAAATATAGTTTCAAACTCTTTTAATTTTTCTTTCCTTAACTGTTCGTAAATATCAACTTTTCATTAACTATACTTTAAAAAATTAAATACAAAAATAAAGTTGTTTTTCTTGTGACATTGTTTGCGCTGGATTCGGAGTATCCGACTAAGCCTCAATGGCTTGTTTAAGTCCATTCAGTGGAGCCTCATGGTTATGCACCCTATCTTGAGCCGCCAGATACGCTTGCTCTCTCTTTCCTCCCTAATTTTATTATTTATTTATTTCCATAAATATAGTTTCAAACTCTTTTAATTTTTCTTTCCTTAACTGTTCGTAAATATCAACTTTTCATTAACTATACTTTAAAAAATTAAATACAAAAATAAAGTTGTTTTTCTTGTGACATTGTTTGCGCGGGATTCGGAGTATCCGACTAAGCCTCAATGGCTTGTTTAAGTCCATTCAGTGGAGCTTAGTTTTGTCCTATAGTATGGGCATTTGTGTGTTTGTTTGTTTTTGCAGGGACACGTAGTTTTCCATCCATTATGCTTCTCAACAATGAAAGTTGGCACGGGCCTACCAAAGTGCTTCATTTGTGGCGCATATCTGTGTTGCCAAACAATTGTTGGCGATTCGGCATGCACGTGGCAAGTGGAATGGTTGCTCTGCTTTTGCAATCGGCAAGGCTGAACTATCATCCGACTCCTCTGGCTTGGCGTGTGTTATGTACCCGCTTGTATACTTTGTTGCATTTCTTAGGATACTGACAGAGCTGCCCATTTAGTGGCTAAAAAGGCTCTTTTATCGACGGATTGATTAGTTATCGACCGCCGCATTTGATTATTTATTTTTTTACATATTTGTAAGTATACTGCATTGTACACCTACCTATGTCTTTGTACACCTATCTATGACAAAAAAAAAACCAACCACTATAGTTGACCACCTGCTTAGTCCAAAAAAATCTGGCTGCTTCTCACACATTTCTCATTGAAATGCTTTTCTCAGATGGTGCGTGAGATTATAGTTTTGATTTGGGGCAAGTAACTTCCATTTTTAGAGAACACCTTGGAAATATTTGAAAAAGATCGAGTAGATAGAGATGCCGCAATAAGTGATGATAAAAAAAAATTGATGAGTACCACAATGTTGAATCTGAGTTGGGAATTGATGATATCGTTAAGATGCATATACCAACCTAGATTCTACTAAAAGAACCAACAGAAAACAATCTATCTCGATGCTCGAATACTAGTGTCATTGCTAAGAATCTATCACGTTCATTGCTTGTTATAAAGAGATCAAACGCTCTTGGCTCTAGTTAAGAATTTTGCAATAATACTTATTCAAATGTGCTTTAAGAAGTTGTCATATTTTTTATATGTGATTTGCAATAATAATATTTTCACCAGCTCTTTGTGTAATTTCATCAAAGGATTATGGACAATGAGCGGCTAATTGAATTCATTGGTTGATGAAGAGATCAAGCGCTCTTGGCAATAATTAATAATTTTGCAATAATATTATTCAAATTTGCTTTAAGAAGTTGTTATATTTTTTTTTAATGTGATTTGCAATAGAATATTTTCACAAAAAAATGGACTGGACACGAAAATAGTGATGGTCCAGTTTGAACAGCCCAACAGGCTAATATGAGCCTGAGAATTAGGGGTGGGCATTCAGTCGGTTCAGTTCAAACCGAACCGAAATAATGCATACCGGGTCCTAGAATTCCATCAAACCCCAAACCAAATTATAATTCGGTTTGGTTTGGTTGGTTCAAATCTAACTATAATTCGGTTTGTTTTTTCATAGAAAACCGAATTTGTGAGGTTATCTTGTATTTGCTCTCTTTTAAATTACTTTTCACCTTAATGTGAACTAGGGGTGGGCATTGGGTGGGTCGGGTGGATATTGACCATAAAATGCACCCACCCGCGCTTAAACGGATTGATAATTTTTAACCCACCACCCACCCACATTTAGTCTCGGGTTGGGTCGGGCGGATGGTGGATGATGCGGGTGGGTTTGTGGGTTCACCCACATCACAATGTATATAATATAAAGGAGTCAACTTGACATGATAATAGGTGAAGAGAATCATCGAGGGTAACCAGAAGTTGAAATAGGGCGAAAAATGTCGAATTAGTTCTTAAATTGGATAGAAATTCTATTATGAAGAGTTTTCTACAGATTGAGATGATTATTAGGTGCAAGGAACTAAGGAAAATAATTCCACAAAGGAAAGAGCGGTGATCTAGGCACAATAATTAGAGGAAAAAGTAAAGGGAAGAAGAGGGGATCTCTATTTGGAAGGTTGGCTTTGAGGTTCAAACTCCAGGAGCAGTCCGAGTTTATATCTAACGTCTCCACTCTTCTCTCTCTAGCACCAACGACTTTGATTTTTTTGCTGTTTGGTTGAGCGGGTCACCCGCGCACTCACCCACAACCCACCCACCACCCGGCGGATGGCTTCCAGCGCAACCCGTCACCCACCCACAGACTCACCCACTTAACAAAATTCGGGTCAAATGCGGATGGGTCGGCCCAAACCCGCGGATGATCCGCCCGCATGCCCAGCCCTAATGTGAACAATAAATACGCCATTATATGCATAAAATCAAACATTTTCAACACACAAGTCATAAAACACTAACATGATTCAAATATTTAAGTCCTATAATAAGTACAAACATTTGGAACTTGCAATTATAGTAATTCGGTTCAGTCGAAAGTACCCTGATTTCCGAAATATGTCATTTTCCCTTTGGTTTCTGGTGGTTTTACCGAACCATATGCCCACCCCTAATTTCCGAAATATGCCATTTTCCCTTTGGTTTCGGGTGGTTTTACCGAACCGTATGCCCACCCCTATTGAGAATCACCGGTCAATTGTCCCTCCAAAGCGGGAAGCCGCTCTGTGAAACCAGCCTGGCCCAACTCCAGGCTTGGAGCGGGCAAGCCAGAAACTTAACCCACCAGACCCAGCCCTTGTAGCCGGCCCAACAATTAGATAACTTTTGCTTTTAAAAATAGATTTGATTTGCTACTAACATCTGTCAATGCAAGTAGATAACTTTTTATGCTATGAAACGATTGATCAGCCTTCGCATCTAGTGAACTAAAGTAGTGAATGGTTATTCGGTGGGATATATTAAGTATAAAATCTTGATAATTTGGCTGATTCATATAGTTATAGAATAATTTCACAATATAAAACACGAGACCGCGTAAATAATTCTTTTATTGCACCCCCTTAAATAAAATTCTGGCTACGCCACTGTATATATTTGAGAATGCAACTATATATACTTGATTAAGAAGAGTTTCACCATTCTAGTAACTTTAAACGACTCGAACTACATTGTTTTCAACGTTTGGTGGACACACAATTGGGGGCTAAATTACACGTTTGGTCACTCAAATTATACAAATCTTTCACGTTTGCCACCCGAATTACTTTTCTTTCTTATTCGCCACTAACTTTACAAATCGTTTCACGGTTGGTCACCGGCCGTTACACTCCGTTAAGTTTGTCCTACGTGGCAGTCAACTATAAAGTTTGACCGTTAACTAGATGACGTGGAAATTAAAAAAAAAAAAATTTCTTTCCACCTCATCATTGCACTTATTTTGTCTATATAATTTATCATATTAATAATTTAATAAAATTTAATAAATTATAAAAAATGGGCAAATCCTCATGTTCGGAGCTGCTACAGAAGAGCTTCTCGGGAGGATCAGAACAGTAATGGAAGGACGAAGGCAGGAGTCTGTTTCCTGCAGTGAGTCCAATGACTGCAGTGGTGGCCATCATATGGCTTCTTCCCCAGCACCCTCAATAACCATTACAAGTTTTCTTCCCCAACATGAAATTTGGCGGTGGAAACTTAAAACCCTTTGAGTTGCTTTCTATATTTATAGTTCTTCCACAGTGGGAGAAACCAAATCAGTAGGGCTCAGCAGAAATCAATGTTTTCCCCCTCCTAATTTGGTGATCAAACATAGAAAAAGAATGAACACAAGCCACTCTCCAGCTTCATATGTGTAAATAGCTTCTTCTACAATTAAGACAAACATGTTAATATTTTACACAATGGCATGGTAAACCAAAATCCAGCTCATGGGATAGCTAAATGAAAGTGAAAGAACACAGAATTGGAGTGGTTTGTTAGCACATAGAGCTGAACTCTAATGGGCAAATATGCATATATACATGCACCAGCTTGGAGCTTGTCTCCAATTAGGTCGTCAGAACTCAAATCCCATGTTTCAAAATCTTTTAATCGTTTCATAAACGAGTGGGAAGTGATTAGAATGAGAATCAGAAGCTGGGTTTGGATTGACAAGCATACACTCAGCAAATGTTAAAGGATCGAAATGAATCGCATAGTGGCTGGTAGCAAGAGGAAGAAAGAAAGAGAGAAAGCCAAGCTGGTGCAGCAGAGATGAGTTTGAGATGTGAAATGGCAACATACCTGATGGAGAACGGAAACTGAATTTCGATCAACAGCAGCTTGAGAAGAGGAGAAGCCGGAAGAAAGGGAGATGGCGATGAGCACAGAGAGGAATAAGAACCTCTCCTTGTTTCTCGTTCTGCTACGTTCGCCTGTCAGCAAGGCTGTAACTGCTTTGTTATCATGCTCTCTTCCGAGCCGGCCGCGGCCGCGGCGGGGACGCTGTTGTCGACATCGACGGAGGAGGAGGAGGAGAGGGAGAGCTCCGGGAGCCACTTGGAGGCGTAGTGAGCGACGATGGAGTCGATGAGGTCGGGGCGGACGCCTTTGGACTTGATGCCGGAGATAGTTTGGTGATTGAACGATGGAGTGGATGGTGAGGGTGAGGATGATGAGCATTTGGATTTGCCCATTTTTGTAATTTATTAAATTTTATTAAATTATTAATATGATAAATTATATAAACAAAATAAGTGCAATGATGAGGTGGAAAGAAATTTTTTTTAATTTTTTTAAATTTCCACGTCATCTAGTTAACGGTCAAACTTTATAGTTGACTGCCACGTAGGACACACTTAACGGAGTCTAACGGCCGGTGACCAACCGTGAAACGATTCGTAAAGTTAGTGGCGAATAAGAAAGAAAAGTAATTCGGGTGGCAAACGTGAAAGATTTGTATAATTTGAGTGACCAAACATGTAATTTAGCCCACAATTGGGAAACCAACCAAAAGTCCTATTGAGAGTAGTAGTAGTAATAAGAAGAATACAAACACACACATTATAAAATTATACTTACTACACAACCAACCAACCTAAAAGAGGGATTTATGTCCCTCAAGTGGGTTTCATGTCCTGAAAAAGGGCAGTCCATAGTGATTGCTCATCAAACTCCACGTCACCACCACCGTAATAATTCCTCCCACCTCTAGGAGTCCCATTCCCACTCCGAACCATTGGGCTGGACCGCCTCGCCTCCATGGGCCTCGCCACGCCCATCCGCGGACTCACCTGGCCCAACAGAACCCCATCCGCCGGAGGAGGAGTCGCGCAAATCTTCGGGCTCCGGTAAGCAAACACCAGCCTTTCGTGGGCCTTCCCGTCCAGCGGCCCAGACAGCTTCAAGCTGCTCTTCGACTTGGAGTACACCAGCCCTTCCTGCTGCACCCTCTTGAAATCCAACGGCCCGGATTTCGCCTGCCTCCTCTTCAGCACCGGCAGCTGCGGCGGCGGAGTCAACGCCGCCGCCGCCCTCCACTCCAGCTCCGGCACGGCGGGTGGTACCCTTTCTTCCCGTTCGCCGGAAGGGGAGACCAATTTGGAAATGCGCTTCCTGATGCTCTTCCTCGTTCGGGCAATTGCGGAAACCAATTTGGAGAACCCAGTAGTGCTGGCCGAGCCTCTGGTCGGACCGGTTTCTTTGGTGGCCAGCTTGAGAATCTCCAGGCGGTGCTTGGCCACTGAAATCCCCATGCTCTGGAGGAATTCGTGGTTGAAGTAGGGCAAATCGTCGGCTTCGAGCTGGTTCTGCTCAAAGGTGAGGCCGTATTCGCAGACCAGGGATGGGTCGAGGGTGGTTTTGGACAGCCATGAGAGCCAATCCATTTTGCTTCTGCTTCTTTCTGTTTTGGCTTTTGGGTTTTGGGTTTCGAGGGAGTGGTCCTTTTGGGAAGTACAAGTAGTGCAATGGGTATATAAGGACACTATAAAGGAAGGAAGGAGGGGATAAGAATGGAGGAAAGGGGAGGAAGAAGAAGAAGAAGGGAGAGGAGGGGAAGATTTAATATTGTGGTTGGACAAAAGTAGTGGGGGCAGTGTTTGAGAGGTATATGGGGAAATTTGGATGGTGGTTGGAGTATGAGAGTGACAATAGTCCATGTGAGGGAAGTTGAATATTAGGTTGTGGGAAATTTTGAAAGTTTGTATTGCTCTTTTGTGGAATTTTCTTCTGTTCATCTATCCCTCCTCTCTACCTCATTTGTGGTCCTTTGGAGTGAGGTAAGGTTTTGAAGTTAGTTGGTTGTGCATTTCCTTCAGTCTAGAAGTGAATTTTCCAGTTCTTATTCATTGAGGAGCTCTTGAACAGTCAGGTAATTAAAATACTAAGGGGTCGTTTGGAATTTGCGAATGTTAAATCGTTGCATTGTAATGAATCACCATAATATAAATGCATGTATTGATATAATAGATGCATTTTAACAATACATTGTTTGGTTGTTGAGATTCTATTTTATGCATTGATTTACATAAAGTTACTTTTATGGGGAAATGTCACATTTACCCTCAACTTTTAGAATAAGACAAAACTATTGGAGATATAAATGGAAAGAAAAAGTTGACACAAATCTAAAACCAACAATCACAACAATCTCAACTTTTAGTTGAGATTGTATAATGCATCATTTTTTGTGATTGTTGGTGGGACCTACCTAAAACAATGCATGCATTGTTTAACACTTTGGCACTTCCAAACATTGTATTGTGCACAATACATGTATTCAACAAACACAACTCTAACAATCACAACTTCCAAACGACCCCTAAGTACATTTGTGATTAGCGAATGTAATGGTCGTGAACGCGTCATGTACCTTTCACGAGAACGTTGTGAAGGGTTTGATAACTCACATGTTACGAATGGATAATGTGTTAAGACATAGTTTAAGAGTTTTTTATATGAATTTCGCATGTGTGTGTATAGTCATTGTTTGGATCAATTGTATTTGAGTAAAAATTTTCTTCGGGTAGAATTCAGAATATGAATTTCGAGATGCCTATAATATATTTGTTGTTGTTACTCAGCCCAATAGCGACGACATGAATTCTCCTTTTTATATATAAGGGTGAGATATATTTATTTTTTAAAGTTGATGGTGTGACCTCCAAGTTAAAGATCAATGATAATACCATTAGATCAATCAACCCCTTATTTATGCAATGACATGAATTCTCAATCTGACGCTCCAATCAAAATGGTTTGATCTCTCCACCAATGTGCCTTCACATTGAATGTAGCAATGTTGGGCGGTGACAAGGGTTTTAAGTTTTAACTGTAGTGCACATAGCAATGTTAGCATATGGTGGGAAGAATAATGGGGGTAAGTGAATTTTGAAGCGTAATTGTTGGGTTTGGTTGGGTTGGTTTGGTAGTTGTCTAACTTTGGGATTCCCACTTGACTTGTTCATCACAAAGACACAAACCCACGATGTGGTGTAGACTGAAGACGACTTGAGAGGGGAGGAAATTGATGGGTCTTTCTAAGTAACATGGCTAGTTTTGCATGTACCAATCAACTTATTAATACTAAGCTAGGGTATGGGAGATAGTTGTACGGTGGGTGTTGGGGTCTTGTCCATCTGTCAATATCTTTTTTAGGTATTGTCTAAGTGTGTTTAGTCGCTAGAAGAAAAAAAAAACAATTTGAAAAACATGATGAATGACGTAGCAGTTTACAACATTTCAGCACTCTAATACACAAGCGATTAATAATTTATGTGACACTTAACAACAGGAAAAATAGCTCACAAGTTCATAAAATCACAACTCGGACTCTCAAAGTTCTTGAACTATTCAAAATACTATGAGAGAATATTGAATTTGTAGATGATATTAATTTTTCTCGTTGATATTAATTGTCTAGCTCCATCTGATTATGCTTAAGTGTCGCTTAATCAGTCCATGTGTTCTCGATCCCTAACCAGTTGCAGAACCCCCAAACGAGGTGTTTTAGCGTTACCTATCGCCTAGGCGAGAGTCTATACGTTAATTTAAGCGTGCTTTTTTAAAATCATAATACTAGATATACTAAAAAGTGCGAATAAGTTGGTACAGGTCTAAAAATATGTTTAATACAATTCGTGTTTGCATTTTTCTTTTGAACTTAAGAAAGTCTATGGGGTCAAAACAAAAACAAAAAAAAAAGGTTTTAAATTCAAAAGAGTTGAAATTGGAATAAGTCATATTCCACTCCTGGATTTGCTCTCTGTTGTTCAATTTTCTTTTCCCTGAAAATGAGGTTTCCAAATTTGATTGATTAAGAACATTTTTTTATGGGGAATTGAGGACAAAAGACAAATAAATTATTTGGAATTGGTCGCGGATGGATGATTTTTTATATATGCTGACCGACCGATTCCTATATTAAAAGAGAAAGTAATAGGGAAAAAGACTCTTTGGGAGTTGGCTCTAATTAGACGCCTTTTATCCTATTCATACAACTTTGGAAAATGAAATCGACTTATTAGGCTTTTAGGTTAGGGTTATTAAACCCTAATATAACCTACGTACAAATTTCACTAGGCAATGGGTAAACCTTTACTAGCTTTGAAGGGTAGGGACGTTGTAAGCTCCAAAGTAATAACTCATTTGAGGTAATTTTGAACATACCCAGAGAGTTCTGTTGTAGGCAAGGATTGAGATATCGTATAGGAGATTGTACCGGAAAAGTGAGTGTTAGCTTATTTTATGCTAAAATCGTGGTTTAACTGTGATTCAACCACTTCATACCGCTAAATATTGTCTACAGGTTTAATTTCTGGTAAAAAGTTTTTCTAGTCGAACCGTCGATACGGTATGGTATTTCAATCCTTAGTTACAAGCTTGTTTTTTATAATGGAGTTATTTTCTGGAATTCATTCCTAAAATACATGCTTATTTAGTGAAAAAGGTTTGGGAGGATATTAGGCCAAGATGGTCGAAGGTTCCTGGACTAAACTAGTATGGAAGGGTCTATCTATTTTCCAAATAGGTTTCTTGTTTGGATGATCATTAGAGGGTAATATCGATAAAAAAGACAAAATTGTCAAGTATATGCTGATCTAATAGCTCGAGTAGTTGGAAGAGATTTAATAATTGATTTTATACCACATATTAACATGTTCGATCAAACAAAAGTCACACATATGGACTCGAAGTTTGCACATGTCGGGAATATCATTTGCTTAACAAATGGGCTCCCCATAATTCGAACAATTGAAGAACTCTCGCTCACAGAAGGCTCTGAGACCATGTCAAAGAACCACTCGATCCTAATAACTTGAGTTATTGGGATCGACAGGTTCTTTGACATGTCAGCATAGTCATTGATGACCTAAAAAGATCTCGTGTTCGGATCTCGACGACCCCCAATTGTTAAGCACACGGTATCTGTTGCACACTGAAGTTCGAATGAGTTGGTTTCGGCTAAGTGAATTTGTTAGTAGATTGTATAAGATTCATAATTAAATCTCTTCCAACAACTCGAGTTATTTTACCAGTTGGATTTATGACAAAATGAGCAGTTCTCTGAAGTGTGCCGATTGCCGCCATCGAAATGAATGGTTTAAATCACTTTTTTTTTTTTGTAAGAAATCACTTATTCTTCTTAACACGGTAACTCGTAAGACTTATGGAGATGCAAGGCTCAAACTTCAACGCGAAACCGGAATTGCATGCTAGAAAATCAGATTGAGATAATGACATGAAAGCTGAAACAACAACTTCTTCTTGTTCTTCCTTTTTTCTCAGTCCGCCGAGCGTCCACATTTGTGGTTAGGCCGGCGGCAAGCGCTAAAGAAGGCGCTGATTGCTCCTCGTTTAAACTTCAACCAACAAATGGGCCCAGGCAGAGGCAGGTATTGAATATTGGGCTTTTTGCTCTTTCCATCTTCTGAGTGCACTAAATCCTTTCTCCAAAAAAAAAAAAAAAAAGTGCACTAAATCCCACGCGTGGTTCTAACTTCTAACTACTACTCTCTTCTTTGTTTTTGGACAGTGTTGTGGGGGAGCTCTTTTACGCGGGAGATCTTCTAGACTTATATAAAGGTGGCGGGAGCACATCATGTGCTATTCCCTACCACCAATCTTCCAAAAATCTAATTGCAGTGTGAAAGCATAAAGCATTAAAAATGTACAAAATGATTGGGTAAGGAAGTGGTTAATTACTATACATGGGCATGTATAAAAATCACCATAACCTTCTTCCAACGACTCGAGTTATTGGGACCAATTGGTTTGACATGGTATCAGAGTTGGTTTGTCCTTGAGGTCACGTGTTCAAGTCTTCACGACCCCCAATATTAATCGTTGTCTTTCAAGCACATGGTATGGCGGGCCTGTGTAAACTTCAATCCCATAAGTCGGCTTTTGTTTGAGGGGGCGTGTAAGGAAGTGGTTAAGTACCATACATGGGTCTGTATAAGATCTAGCATAACATTCTCTCAACAACTCAAGGTTATTGGGACCAACTGGTTTATGACAGATTGAACTTAAAAATTAGCGTAACAAATTCATTGATCATTGCAAGATACTTAAATTTGCCCGGGATCAGTGGCTTGTGAACATCGATCTCAACCTTTACCCATAGGTACTTGGTAGAGCATAGACCGAAGGAGGCGTTAAACTCCACTTCAATCAGCTTACCTATGGATTGGCCTATTTTTGCCGCCTTTGTCTTCGTCATTCGATCCAGGGGGAGGACACGCACATTACCTAATTACTTTTTGGGATATGCTCTATCTAGAGCAATGTACTTTTTTAATTTGCTTCCTTCTAAATATCTTTCCAAAGTGGGCGACGAAAAGTTACATTGTCGGTAGATGTGAGTAGGTTGTGGTTGATTCAATTTAGATTCCTTGTCTAGGTTTCTTGTATGTATAATTTTTATCAACCATGACAAAATAGAATAACAATTACTTGTGAACTGATCTTCTTCTTTTCTTCTCTTTACAAATCTATTTAAATTTTGCATAATTTCTTTTAATTTCTTTAGTTGTGCAAATAATCAAAATCCTAAATAATGGTTTCAGAAGATAAATTCCACTCAGAAATTAAAGTGATTGATTGCTCCCCATTATAAAATTAGGTGACCTATACTGACTGCCACTACACTTTTCCCCCCACTTCCTTACCAAATTAGTTTTTATCAAAGTAGCAAAAATGTTAACATATTCATCAGATTTGTGAATTGGGCTTCATGCTATTCCAGAGGCCCAATACTTGCGACCAATGTTCTACGGGCCCCGATATAACCCATGCCCAAACTCGACAATGGCCCAAAGCCGTCCTGGAGTTGGCGGGAGAGATAAAGCGGCCCACCTAAAAACGACATTTTGAAAAGACCGTTACTATCGCCGATTCTTCTCAAGACTCTGAAACGGAATTCCGTTCTTCCCTTCCCCCCAACTTTCCTGGTCAGCCAAACACCGTCTGATTTTCCGGGATAAGCGTAAAAAACGAATCTGCTTAAACCGCTTATTTCAATCCCCACCCAGCAACATTTCTCGAGTGCTATACCTTTTTTCCCCAACACCACCATTCCTCCTCCCCTGAATTTCCCAAAAACAAAAAATTCAACATTTCTGCTAGAACCTCCGTCGATCAAGAAAAGCAATCAATCCCCCAAAAGAGAAGTTTCCCTCTGTACTATGTTTTCTCGCGCAACCCTGATCAAATCCTCAAAATTGATCCGTCGTGACTTACCCAGCCCCAGATTCTTCACCCGTCGTATCTTCGATCAATCGCCATTGGAAAGCTCTGTTTCTGTACCGTCATTGGCAGCCGCTTCTTCTTCGTCTTCTGCTAACGGCAATAAGAATGGGGAAAAGGAGTCTGTGAGATCATTTGTCAGATCCATTTCTTCTGGGGTTGCGATTTTGGGCTCCAGCCTGGGACTGGGCTACTGGTATTCGTCGGAGGTTGATCGGAACGGGTTCGTGTCTTATGCGGAAGGGGCAACCGCCGATGCCCTCGAGTGGACAACGAGCGCCAATCTCAGCCTTCCTTCGCCGGACTCCTCCGAGCCTAAGCGCCGATTCATCTTTGGAGGTTAGAGAATTTGATTTGATTTGATTTGATTACATCACTATATTTTTTTGTTTTGATTTGATTTATGTGAAATTTTACATTACAGAAGGGTTCAGGAGAAGGGTGTTCTTCAATTACGAGAAGCGCATAAGATTACAGAGTCCCCCAGAAAAGGTGAGCCCTTTTGAAATTCCATCTGGTTGAATTCTGAATTTTTTTTCCCCATAAAATTCTCCATCTGATCCCTGTATTTTTCAGGTGTTTGAGTATTTTGCTTCGTCCAGAAGCCCCGGTGGGGATGTTCTGATGACCCCTGCCGACTTGATGCGAGCAATCGTACCGGTTTTCCCTCCTTCGGAATCCGATCGAGTCCGGCAGGGATCCTTGAGAGGGGAGAGGTTCCACGGCGAGCTTCAATGTGCGCCATCCAAGTTCTTCATGCTGTTTGATACTAACAACGATGGCCTCATCTCGTTTCCAGAGTAAAGACTCTGTTTTTTTCCACACTTCCTCCCCTGTTCTGCAAGGGAAAAGAAGGAACACTGATCAAATTTTCAATTTCTGTGATTTGATCAACCAGGTACATTTTCTTCGTTACTCTGCTCAGCATTCCTGAATCTAGCTTCCACGTCGCCTTCAAAATGTTCGATCACAACAACAATGGGTAAAACTAAACACTGTTATCCGAATTTTCGCACCCTTGGAGCACTCTGTTTTACATAATGGTTTCTTTGTCTGTGGAATACCAGAGAGATCGACATCGAGGAGTTCAAAAGGGTAATGGGACTAATGCGATCGCAGAGCAGGCAAGGCGCCCGCCATCGAAACGGGAAGAGACAGGGTCTCAAGGTCACGGATCCCGTCGAAAATGGTGGATTACTTGAATACTTCTTCGGCAAAGACGGCAACTCCTGCCTCGAACATGGAAAATTCGTCGAGTTCCTCAGGGAGTTGCACGACGAAGTAAGTGAAAAGTATCCTCCTCTTAACACACTTTAATAATTCCACTTAAATGAATGAAACCCAATTAGGAAAAAAAAAATTAATTCATTTCAATAACTCGACTCGTATCTTTTTATTAGATCTTGAGGCTAGAATTTGCTCACTATGACCACAAGTCGACGGGAACCATATCAGCCAGAGACTTCGCTCTATCGCTCGTCGCATCGGCCGATGTCACTCACATAAGCAAATTACTCGACCGAGTCGATGAGCTCACCCACAACCCAAACCTCAGGGACATCCGAATTTCATTCGAGGAGTTTCGAGAATTCGCTGACCTACGCAAGCAACTCGAGCAACTGACCCTAGCCATCTTCAGCTACGGGCGTGTCAATGGCGTGTTGACCAAGAAAGATTTCCAGAGAGCCTCATCCCAAGTATGCGGCGTCTCGATCACCGACAATTTGGTGGACATAATCTTCCACGTGTTCGATGCAAATCGAAACGGGACGTTGAGCTCCGACGAGTTCATCAGGGTGTTGCAAAGGCGACAGAATGATAGCTTGGTGAGTAGGCAAGCCGGGTTGAGAGGATTGATAGCTTGTTGCATGAATTGTGCAACTAGTTGTTCTTCTTCAGCTAAGGCCGTGCTGTAAGATACAAATGGCAATCTCAAGCTGTTGGATGCTAGTGGTGGTGGCGTTTTTTCTTCCATCGGCACACTAGCAATTGCTCTAAGGGATAGTATATGTTATATAGGGTTTTGAATTGACTACAAGACTGAAGAAGGGTAGGGGGGTTCAATGTGTTTTTTGGTTGTTTTTTCCTTGTGCATTTCTTCAGTTAGTGTTTTATATGACGTACTACCGTGTAATGTTGATGTTGAAGTTGATGATGATGAAAATCTATATATATAAGATTTGTTTGAGGGTTTTGAGGATATTTCTAGTTAACTAAATATTGGTATTCATGTATTTGGATCATGTGTATACAATGCATCGATGAGCTTGTAAAATTTATTGTATGTGCTTTTTTGTTAATTTGTGCATAAATAAGGAACATGTATGAAAAACCAAACTAATTATGAATTATGATACTATTGTTGAGTATGATGATTATTTTCCATTTTGTCTATGGTTTTGCCATTAAAATCTGTGTAGTTAGTAGTTACAAATATTGACTATTTTTGGAGCTGCTCGTGAACATCCTAATGATTCCTCTCAGAAGTCTGAGAACATATATCACATAAGTCGCTTGAGTTTGACCAACACTTTTGATGATAATCTCTTCCCTACTTCTGAGAAGAATAAAATCTTCCAGTTTGTCAACTTGATCTTGTTAACATCTTTTGACCTTGTAATCATAGTCGGGATTTTGAGATACTTAGCATGCTTGTAACCTTCTTCGATGTTCATCAATCTATGCGAATTCAATCTCGTCCTCCTCTCAGAACATTGGTGCTCAAGGAAACTTCAGACTTTGAAAGGTTCACCATCATGCTTGATTCCTCTTCGTATAACTTTACAATTTCCATGAGTTTTCGAATTTGTTCGATATTGGCCTTTGCAAATCGAATATAATCATCAACAAATAATAGGTGAGAGAAAGAAGGAGCTCTAATACAAATTTTACAACCATGAATCTTCTTCTCCTTTCCATACTTGTTGATAGCCGACAACCCATTCGAGCAAAGGAGGAAAAGATAAGAAGATAGCGAATCTCGTTGTCTAATTCCTCGCATCGGTGTGAAAAAATCATACTTGTGTCCACTATTGCATAATAAATAGTAAACACATAATTCACCACAACATTAGTCCATAGTACTCCATTGGTCATCAACCCTCATTTGTTGTATGATCTTTGAAGAAAAACTCACTCCACACGATCATATACCGGTACTATATCAATGTTTAAGCTCCAGAGAGCCTCTTTTACTGTTGGTTTTCTTCTTCATTGCAAAGAAACATTCAAATGAAGCAATCACATTATCAATAATTGACCTTCCATGAATGATGGCATTATGGTTTTCCGTTTTCACAAATAAGATCATCCAAAGTCACCTTCAAGTGGTTTTCTTCTTCTTCTTCACAAACAAACATTCAAAGGGAAAATCACATTATCAATAATTGACCTTCCAGAACGAAAGCACTCTAATTTTCAGTTTTTCACAAATAAGATCATCAAAAATTCCCTTCATGTGCTTCATAAAAAAAAGTCCCCTTCGTGTGATTAACAATGGACTCTCAAAGTATTTTGTATAGAATTGTGCATATGCTTATTGCCCTGCACATTGCAAGGGATAATTAGGATCTTTTTACCTTTTGAATGAGTAATGATACTGGTTCTGATAAAATCAATAAGACGAGGCCAATTGGCCTTATTCGAGTTAAACTTTGAACATGCCAATAATAAACGGACTTAGTGTGGTCCGGTTAGTTCTATACGAATCCCAATCAAGCTCTAAGAAGACATACCTTAGAACTTTCCAATCGTTACTTCTCCTCACTACTCACTTCTCTCTTGATTCACTTGGCTCTCCAAATTTATTTTCTTATCTAAAAAACCTAGAATTCGAATCAACTCGCCTTCAACCTATGTTTTGAAGAAATAACAACTCTAATCATTAACATATCAAACAAAATTCATAGCGAAACACATCATAGAGGAAAAAGAAAGTCATTGCATATTTGTGTTGAAATACTACTTTTTTTACAACCTTACTTAATCTCCAACGTTGGAGATTATTCATATTGTTCTGATTCGATCCATTCGTTCTATAAAAATGAACAAGCTCTTATATAAGAGCTATACAATATTAGTCATTTACAACCTATATTATGAGTTTGTCCCTTTTTCTCCACAAAAATAGGCAATCATTTATAAGAGAACATATTTTTATGAAAAAAATCGTATTTTAATAAAGATTTCTTTTACAAAGTGGCATACTATGATTAAAGACTCATCAACCCCACAAACCACAAGTTCCTAGGACATATAAAAAGGAAGAACTCAGAACTTGATTTTTTGTTTTACCGCTTACAGAAAAAAAAGGTGAAGTAACTGGACAAACAAACACAACACCGTTTTGCCTCTTCATCGTCGTGCATTGTCATTGCCCAAAGAGAGAAAGAGAGAGAAGGAGCTTAGAGAGAGAGAGGCCGCTGCCAGAGTTGTCAGCTTCAAAGAACGGAGACGACAACAAGAGCCGAGCCCCACGACGAGAGACGCCTGAACCGCTAATCCCTCCTTTTCTGCTTGCTTCCCCATCGATCCTCTCTCTTCCGCTGCTTCTGCCTTACCGTAAGTATCCTCCAATTCGATTCAATCATCTTCCCTAACTCTCTTGATCCCCCTGCCATTAAGTAGTACCTTGTAATTTCGTCATGTCTGGTTTGTTTGATCACTGAATTGCGCCTTCCCGACGGTAAATTTCGAATCTTTTCCCCTTTTCTGTTCATGGGGCACGTTTCTTCTTCTGTTTCCGTGATTGGGGCGTGTTGTAGTAGGGCTTCAAATGCCGCAGCTTTTTTGGGCTGCTTAGTCGTGAACCCTAAATCTCTGCATAGCGATGTTTTCCGCTCAAAGTTGTGTTTTGATGAACCCTATGGCTGCAGAAGCTCTCAAAGTTGCGTGCTTTTTACTTTCTTCGAATTTGATTTTTCACTTTTTTTTTTTGGATGTGAATATTGGGTCTGGAGATCAGGATTGCCTCTGTGGGAACTGTTGTTATGAGATGTTCGGGAATATAGTAGTTGTTTTGAAGGAATAACAATATGTTTTGTACTCTTCTTCTGTGCTTGCTAGTTATCGTGTTTGGCCTTGTGGAGGAGAATGGGAAGTGCTGCTGCTGTTGAAGCGATTCCGTCTCAAGGTTCTGAACCAACCATTGAGATAAAGATCAAAACACTTGACTCTCAAACTTATACTTTGAAAGTAGACAAGCAGGTGATTGTCTCGAGCTCCTTTGTTTTTTCGTCACGTGGCATGTCTCGATTTGGGATGTAAATCTTTGCTTTATTTGTTAATGATCTTGTTGTCTTTGTGGAACTGTACCCGCAATATGTTAATGTTGGAAGTTACGTAACAAGTATCTGGTTTGCTTGCGAGTTAAAATCTGTCACGTGGCATCACAAATAAGTGTTTTGTCTGTATAAATGGAGGGCACACTTCAATGGTATGCGCTTTAAAGATGTAGTTACCACAAAGTATGTCAGACCGATATTGAAAACCATGATCAAGGTGCGATCTTAGCTATTCACGTGACAAATCCCCGTGGGAACTTCAAAAGCTCTGGAGCCAGAATCAACTCGTGGAAATAACTAGAGATATTCACCTCTATAAGTGTGTCAGTGCATTATGAGATTCTGCATGACTGTTGACCTGAAAAAGATTGCAATTATGGCCTATAAAAGACAAGTTTCACATTATTATCTTTTACTCCTTTGTTGAATATATTGCAGATGCCAGTTCCTGCTTTGAAAGAGCAAATTGCATCTGTTACTGGTGTTTTGTCCGAACAACAACGTCTTATATGCCGTGGAAGAGTGCTGAAGGATGATCAGCTTCTCTCTGCTTATCGTATCCTCCCCCCAAACTATATGTCAAATGCTGTTATTTATCATCCTTACATATTTCTCTTCCATTAAAGTTTTCTTAAATATCGTTTCACTTTACTGCTGTTTCCATTGTTTGATATTCTGGATCAAGTTTGTCTTGGTTCTTTAACTCTGAATAGATGTGGAAGATGGTCACACCTTGCATATGGTGGTCAGGCAACCAGTAGCATCATCATCTGAGGGGATGCATGATCAGCAAGGTGTGCATTTGATCAAATTTCATTTATCAATTGCTTCAGGTTATGCTTCTGCTAGACTTCGATAGGACATATGTGTCAAAAGCTCAAACTCATTGCCATACAGCCAAGAGAACTTCGTATGGTGTAGCTCCTTTTCTGGAATCACTTACACGAGTGCCAATTCTATGCTTGTTGTTGAGCCACACCAAACAATAATAACCTCTTTACCTCATTGTGTTTGCCGTTGTCATAGTTGTAGTTGAATATCCCTTGAATTTAGAAATCCTCTACTATTGCTTCGTAGTGTCTTTATCATTTTTTAGACCCAAAGAAAACCATTTCCCTCTAGAGATAGCTTGATTTATGTTGCTTCAGTAATCTAGTATGACTTAACTGCAAGGGTTTTAACTTTCCTGCAGCTGATCCTGCTTCATTTTCAAGTTGGAGTCGCAGCTTTGCTGCAGCTGATCCTTCTGCTACAATAACAAGCTGGGGCCCAAGTGTTGTTATAGAAAGTCTCAGTATGCCTGATCAAGGGGATGGAGGAGTTCCTCCTGAAATAAGTAGGGTGAGGCTGCCACTTGATGGTGAATGGAGCTTGCTGTTGTTAGTTTGAGTGGGTTAATCATGCGGGGTTATATTGATGTTTTTCTTACTTTTCCCTTATCCAATACACAGATTGTTTCTGCCGTCCTTGGGTCCTTCGGAATGTCCAGTCTTGGAAGTGCCATTGATGGGGCTGATGTAACAAGGGTAACTTCACCCCCCTCTCTTTGTATATATACATAATATATGCTGTCCAAACACCCTGCTATTGAGAAACTGAAATCTATATATGCACAGATATATGCAATGAATCAAAATGCATTTTTTTTTCATGAATTAACTACACTCCTTTGTCCTTTATGTTCTTTTAGGACCTCGGTTTGGGAAGAACATCATCTGCTAGTGCCACATTCGAGATAAACCAGCAAGCTGGTGCTAGAGTTCAGTCTGACGGATCACATAGTGCTTTTGGAATCCCTGCAGTAGGTTCCTTGGGATCTTCTTTACACCCTCCTGTGAGTCTGAAATCCCTCTCTCTCTCTCCCTACTTTGTTGATGCAGTATCGTGTTTTCTAATCTAATGGTCACTAGAATTTTCAATTTTCCTCTCCCTGTGCTATTGGCCATTTTAGGTTATCCCTGATGCACTGACAACTTTGTCCCAGTACCTAAGTCATATCAGGCGTGAATTCAATCGCATTGGTGAGTCATGTGATATCAATAAAAGCAATATATAATTTGCTCTTCAGACCATGTTTTTTATATTTAAAGCGTGGTTGAAATGATCATTAAAATGACAGGTACAAGTGGTGAGAACAATTCTCAAACTGACAACATCAGTAGATCGGAGCAAGGAGATCTTAATTCCTCTTCATCAGAATCTGGAAGTGTAGAGGGAAGACTTCCGACACCGGCATCCTTGGCGGAGGTGATCTTGTCCAGTAGAGAGTTGCTCACTGAACAAGTTTCCGAAAGCTTACTAGTATGTTTGTTCTACCACGTTCACTCTAATCAGTTCAGCCCAAGGTGGGAACTTTTGCCTTCTTACTGGTCAATCATTTTTCCAATCTCTTGTTTTGTATTGTAATCAGCAACTTGGAAGGCAATTAAGCACTCAAGAAAGTATGACTGATTCTTCAGCACGGTCGAGAACTCAAACTACTGCATGGAGAACAGGAGTTCAACTTCATAACCTGGGTGCATTTCTACTCGAACTGGGACGAACAACCATGACTCTACGACTAGGTCAAGCACCGGTAGGGTTCTTTCTCCCTCTGACCATCCATAACATCCTTTCATCTCAAGTCTCTCCCTTCATTGACAACTGTTATTTGTTGAATCAGTCGGAGGCCGTGGTCAATACTGGCCCTGCAGTCTTCATAAACTCCACCAGTCCAAACCCTCTAATGGTTCAGGTCATAATTAATGGCACCTCGTGTAAAATACATTCTGCTTTCCTTAGTTTCATTCATTTTGATCGTTACTGGTTTACAAACAGCCTCTTCCTTTCCAACCTGGAGGAGCAACCCTCGGTGCTGGCTTTCCTATGGGCTCTGTGCAGCCTGGTTCTGGGTTTGTTCCCCGCCGCATTGACATCCAGATACGCAGAGGAGGTAAACCCTAGACTGTGTTCATAATTTCCCAATCGTTTATTAACTTCATGAAAACTTCATTTTGACTTGTGAATTCCAATAATTAAGGTTCGTCAACCACCTCGTCTACTGTTACAAATGAGGAACGTGGTGAGTCTGGCCAGAGAAATCCTGCAGCAGGTGGCAGTGCCGATAACACGGCTAATCAGACCACGACTAGAGAAGAATCTCTAGCTGGGGAATCTGGAGTTCGTGTAGTGCCCATTAGAACCATGGTTGCCACAGCAGCAGCAACAGTCCCTGGTTCATTCGGTCATCCTTTTGTCGGAAGGTTTCAGCAGGTGGGTTCTGAACAAAGATCTCATGCACAAACACAGCAACAGGCAGTTCCTCAAACTGCACAAAATGATGAAAATGCTGAAGTTCGGGTAAGAGAGCCCTCGACTACCACCCGTAGCATTAACATCAACATTCTATCGGCAGCCGGTGGGGCCCGAACTGGCCAGGAATCTGATAGACAGGTCCCTGGAAGTGTTATGCAGTTCCTGAGGTCTTTGTTTCCCACTGGAGAAATCCATGTGGAGGCTGCCGGCAGCGACTCAGGAACTACAACGACGACTCCTCCTCCTGCCCCTCAGAATGTGGGATCAGCTACAGCTGCCGCTGAAGAAGGATCAGAATCGAGACCAAGCGAGGAAGGATTATTTCTCTCCAATTTACTCCGCCAGATTTTGCCCGTGGTATCTGAACATAGTGGGTCAGAGCCAGGTGATGCATCTCAAGGAGAAGCACAGAGGTCTCAGGATTCTTATAGCCAGGTACTTGAAGAATAAAAACACCACTAGCCATCAAAATCTGCGAGGCAATCCAAACAAAGTCCTAAATTTGTATCATTTTGGTGCTTTTTGCAGGTTGAGAACAATGGTGTGGGGACTTCCCGTCGTAGCAATGATTCACATCCAAGCAGTCCAAACTCGAAACGCCAAAGGGTACATACACTCAAGCTCTCTCTCCTTGACAATATGTATACTTAAATCCTGATGGCAGAACACTGATCTGTCTTTTTCCATGGTGATGCAACAGAGGGAGTGAGGAAGCTTTGGTGGATTGTGGAGGCAGTAGTTTGTGGGGTAGAGAAAGCTGTTGTTGAGTATCAATAATGGATGATTTTGGATTTTCTTTAGTACAGGTGAATAGCCTATTTCTATTTGCTTTTGCGATCTTTCTGAATATAGGTTTTAGTTCGCTTCTCTCTTTTGTCCAAAGAATTTGGGGATATATTCTGGCATTTGAAGAACAGAAGAATTCATTTTGGTTTAAGATTCACCTTTTGAGTTGTATTCTCCCTCTCAAATTATACCAACATACAGATTACAGAAGTTGTTCCATATGATAGAAGTAGAGATGCCATTCAGATACAGTTGTCTTGGCAGTTGTTGCGCGACATCGAGAATCTAGTCGATGGATACTGCGTGCAGGCTAAGTGTTCATACTGGCTGCATCAATTGCAAATTTACCAGCGTGACAATGGATGTCGAACTGCACTTTTGATTTTCTCACAGGTGATGAGCTCTCAGTGGCATGAATGTTAAGGTACAGTCTCATAGCTGGCTGAAAGGGCGGGTTGGAAGTTCGGAGTCACTAACCCCCACTTTCGTGATCACCGTATGATAGCTAGCAAAGAAGTAGCCAAGCGGTAGTGGATGGCGAACTGCATTGTTGATTTTCGCCACAAGTGTTGAACTCGCTGTGGTAAGAACGATAATTTACAACCAAATAGTTGGCTGAAAGGGCTGGTTGGAAGTTTGGAGTTGTTCATTCCACTTTAGTAATCACTGTTAAAGACATAAGCTCACAATGTGATCACATTTAGGATGATCTGATTGTATCTCATATCAAGATCAAAATGAGTGGTTCATAGAGGATGAATTATATATGTATGTACATCTCAAGACATTATGTCCAGAATTTGATATTACAGTTCCTCGACACTGAATGAGGGCAAGGGGAAATCTATTGTTCCCCAGTATGAATGTATATACAAAAAAGAAAAGAAAAGGATGTATGCACCATTATTGATTAGCTTCTTACCCTCCTAAAAGCATGGGCGAAGAAAACCGAAAAAGAAGACAATAATTCTCAGCATTATCCTTGTAGCAGACATCTCAGGTTCTGCAGTCCCTCAGCAGAGATGCTCCTCCTCACTCTCCCCCTCGGAACTACAGTCGATGGAGGCGGCTCTGAGTGAAAGCTCACAATGACAACCGTCAAGTTGTCGGTCGCTCCTCGTTTGATAGCTTCCTCCACCATTTCTTTGCAGCACTGCTTCACATCATTGTGCTGCTGAAGCCTCCTCCTGGCAAAGTGCACCGCATTCTGGCTGGAAAACACATCCCAGATTCCATCACAACCTATGATCAGAAACTCGTCCTCGTGTGTCAGTGTGATTAGCTTGAGCTCTGGTTCAGCAATCAGTGGGCCACCACCACCTTCCTTTTCACCTGTGTCCTTCATTCCTTCGAGGTGCCAGTCTCCCAGTGCACGTGTAACACCCAAAAGACCGTTGAGATAACCATCATCGACATATCCTCCCAATGACTCGACTCGGAGTCTCTCGATAATGCTGCATGGCCTATGATCCATGGACAGCTCGATCGCCACTCCACTTCTTGATAAGACTGCCCTGCAGTCACCTGCATTTGCTATGAGCATTGACCTGGAGAAGCCAGAAGCAACTTATCAATCAAGTATTTCTCTATCCCATGGAATCAAATCAATGGAGTTTCCTTTCTTTCCAACCATATGACTTCAGAAGGTAAACTACAAGAACAGTTCAGCAAATGAAAAGCGCTCGTTGATTTACCAGTAGAGAAAAGTAGGGCGCTTACCTCCCAAATATCATTGCAGTTAGTGCAGTTGTGCCGGAAGAGATTGTGGAGCCAGAAGAGCATGATTCTGCAAAAGCAGCATCTGCTTCCACAAATGATCGTGTAATCACTTTCTCGAGCTCAAGAGGAAAGTCAGCATCTTCAACAATGATCCTCGGCAAGTGGTCTCGGACAAATTGTGCTGCACTTTTCCCCCCATGGCCATCGAATACCTGTATCAGGCGTTTCAACATTCAAGTCAAGACCATCGTTTCAAGGATCTTCATCCAGGTGTTCGAACAAAAGGAGAACTTACACCGTAGAGAGAAATGGCCTCCTGAGTCAGCAGATCATCACAGCCAAACTTCTTAGCCAAGTCACTAATGCAAACATAAGTGTCCTCCATTTCAGGGCGGCCACCAATATCAGACCACTCCCCTGACCTGAGGGCAGGGACAAAATTGGTCATCTTCCTTTCTGCTGAGACTCTATCCTCGCAAATGCTCTCCAGCTGAAATCAAAATCCCCAAAACAGGAAACCGTAATCGGACAGTGGGAAACAAACACACCAAGTCTATCAACTTGCTGTCAAGAGCAAATGATGAGCTTTAATCCATAACAAGACAAAACCAATTTCTTGGCTGGAATCTGATTGGCCACATTATTGCACCCCCAAAAGAGGAAAGCTACCCAAAGAAAGAAAATAAAAGTTGTGTAATTGAAAGCCAATTCCTGTTGCTATGATTATCACCCCCATAGTCACCTAAAAACCCTCCAATCACCCCATAAGTCTGAATCCCAGAAAATTGGCCTTTCACCCTCACCTAAGTCCTAACAACTTCCCCCACAACCAAAATCAAGCCTTGATTGGATCACAAGAACAGTAACAGACTGTGGATTCTAAGTTCTTAACTAACTAATCAAAGCAAAAGCACTACAGAACCCAGAAATGAATTGGAACTGTTTCATTACGTCCATAATTAGCAACTCTCTTCAATATCACTTACAGGGCAGGAGTTGCCACCGACGCCGGAGGCCATAAAGGAGGAGTCTTTCTCCCAATTCTCCATCTGGGTATGCTTGCACGGCCCAGCCTGCTTCTTGTTGTTACTGCCGCCGCTGCTTCCTCCTCCGCCGCCGCCACCGCCGTTCTTCAGCATCCTCTTCTCTTCCTCCTCAACTTCCACTTCCTGGGCAACGCTCTCTGCATCCTGAACACACATGATTCCGGCCCCTCCCTTTTATGCCGTTTCTCTTTCTGGGTTTCACTTCCCTATGGCCAAGTGGAAGAGGTTGAGGATTGGAAAAAAAAAGTGATCTTTGTTTATTTATTCAGAGTCCAAAAGACTGCTGTAGAAGAAGCAAGTTGGATTCTTTGTTTGTGGTGTGGGTATCCAAGGAAGCAACTGAGCACAGGGATGGGGAAATTGAGAGTAAGAGAGAGGGGAAATGGGAGGAGAGCAATTGGAGGTGTGGCCGGGTGGGGGAAGGAGAAGGATGAAGAAGATTCTACGGAATATGTTTTGGGAGCAAAATCTGAGGTGCTTGCTTCCTGTTTTGTTTTCTTTCTTTATAGTTTTGGAAGGTAAAACAAAGGGAAAAGGAAAGAGCAGTGGTTGGGAGGATGTTTGGCTGATGGATGGGAGCCGTTAAGAACTTCCAGATTTTTCTATGTTTTTTTTTTCTTTCCCTCGGTGAAACAGTGGTTGGAGATAGTTTTGGGTCTTGGGTTAAAATGATTTTTGTCTTGAGATGAAGATAGTGAATAGAGACAAGACCATCACTTTTGTTGCGGATTGATATTCGAGTTTCTTGAAGATATCTTATAACGTGAGAAGTTTCAAATGAAATCAAAATCACCAAAACAGGAAACAGGAGATCAAAATTGTGCCTTGTGAACGAAACATTTGAACTTAAATCCATACAGTGAAATTCCCCATTAAAAAAAAAAATTCCATACAGTGAAATCATATTTGTATATGGTGTGATGCTAGTGTGAGATGTCAAGAATGACGAATCATATACTTCGGCTTATAATTATGTTGACAAATCTATAAAATTAACATTCAAGTTTGTAGGATAATCTAGGGTTCTTTTATGTGCTACCTAAGTAAATTTGTGTGAAATATCTTACACGAAATTTTGCTCCTAGATTGCATTGTGGCTTGTGAGAAACTCTGAAATATTATTCGGATGTACTTCTCGTGGTTGACTTCGCGTTTACTTATCTCTTCTCATTTATAGTTGTATAATCTTATCTCTATTAAAACATTAAGAGCAATTAAGGTGATTGACAGACAAATACATCGAAAGATTCATAAATCAATTAATCACAGAAACGCGAATTATAGCATCAATAGACTATTTACTTATCCATACCACTATAGTCTGTCATTGCAATTTGCAAATCCACTTTTACAAGTGGATCAGCCTAACCCAAAATGAAAATCCAATTGGCTCCTCAAGTGGTATATAGGGCAACATTTCAAGGACTGGAATTATGTTGCTATTTGATCTAGTCAATGACATGTACAAGTGCCATTGTCTTCTGTGTAATAATATCATTAACTACATCTTGTCCCCTTCTCAAAACAAAGGGAAAATAAATAATTATTAACTCTTCAATAAAAAAAATACAACACAATTTGTTGAAGGATAATAACATTTTAGTGGTCAAATTATGGGTTCTAGAAAAGTTAACCTAAATTAAGCAAATAAATTGACAATTAAAGGGTTACACAATGATCAAATTCCGGTTCAACTATGCAACCAATATGGGTATTTTCTTTATGCTTTCTCGGGTAATTTCCAATGGATTGTCTTTTACACTTTATAATAGATATGCGGGACAGGTTACGGTGATTACTACTTTGTAGTAATCACCGTGGTTACTAAGGGTAAATTGGGTATGGAAAAATAAATTATATTAATTAATTTTTTAATAAATTACATTTAAGGTAGTTACAAAAATCTATTAATTAAAATTCTCTCTTTCTCTCACTTCCGTAATCTCCAGCGAGATTTCCTTTCCATATTTTTCTCAATCTTTCTGCAAAAAAAAAAAAAAACGAAATCAGTACCAATCCATTAGACAAACACTACCACTTTGAAAAATATCAATACCATTGCAGAAATAAATCTATACCATTACACGAAAACTACCATTGCATAAATAAATTTATACCATTACACGAAAACTACCATTCAAGAAATAAAAACACTACCATTTCACAAAACATCAATACCATTCAAGAAAGAAAAACACTACCATTTCACAAAACATCAATACCATTGCAGATTTAATCACTACCAATGCGACAAAATCAATACCATTGCAACAAAATCAATACCAATATGATAAAAATAATACCATTACGACAAAAATAATACCAATGCGACAAAATCAATACCAAAACAAAGCAATACAAAAAAAAGTTTTAGTACCTGTTCGACCCGGATATCTACACCGACGGCAGGATTTCGGTGCAGGGGATTGACGGGATCCTGTTCCCGGAGACGGAAGCGACGGAGCCGCTGAGGAAGCCGGCGAGTCCCGTCAAAGTCGTGACCAAGGCCAGGAGAGGTAATTAGTAGAAATTGCCCTGTTCTTAGCTTTCCATTAATCTTTCGCCATTGTTGCCTAATCTATTTTACGAAGGTGTTGACGAAGGTGGGCGAGGGTCGCCGGAGGGTGGGCGGCTGCCGGCAGTGGGAGGGCCGCAGGATAGGTGTTGACGAAGATATAAAATAGGGTTGGAGTAGGTTTAGGTATAATATATAGAATTAATTTTTTAAAGGATAGAAATCAGGTGTGGTATTTTTTTTATTCTCAAAATTACCCTTAATCTAATCTTCACCGTCAATTTAAAATTAGAATAAAATATAGATAATTAAGGGTCTAGATTTTAGTAGCCACGGTGATTACTCAATTTTGAGTAATCATCCTAACGCGTTCCATAGATATGCCTTTAAAATAAATATTTTGGGGAGGAAAAAGCTACACCAAAAAGGGACAAAGGCAATTTAACAATGACATCAAAAGTTTGTTGGTTGATTGCAACCAATAAGTTTCAATTTTTCCTCCATCACCGTCCATATTTTTTTTTTTTTTGTCAAAGGAGCCACTGAATGGCAACGTGTACCCTATTTCCTCTTTTCATTACTAATGGAAGGTTACATCACAATTTGGAAGCTTAAAGAGTGAGAGATAAATTTAAAATCGGATCTGCTTGAGCGACAAAAAAAATATATTTTCGACATAACGTAGTTTAAGAGTTATCAAGCACTGTGTTTAGGGTATAGAAGAAATCGGGTATAAAGATGAAAATCATGAAGCACCTCGCAAACATATGAGGCTTTTGGTATGACGATCTAGTTGTATTCAAGTTAGAGATATGGCAAAAGCCTCCGACCTTGTAATCGAGTTAGCTTGCTAGACATGAGTGAACTCATTTGGTAACGAATGAGACATCGACTGTGTGCATTAAACTATTGTGTGTGAGTACTTAATGGGCTAGATCAACGATGTTTATCCTGTTATAGTAGGTTGAGGGTTAATAGTCCAATCGATTTAGCTCAGATATATGAGAAAGATCATTTAACATTACACTAACAGAATAGTTCGTACTTAGATCTAACATATAATGTAAATTCAAACATGCTAATATAACATCAATATTCAAATGTTCAGTTTTCAAAGGTAAGGTCAGGCGAAGGGAACCTTGATACTAGTCGACTAGCGGGGTCTGACACTCGTTTTCCTCACCAGATTCGGATTAATCCGGATTGACCCAGATGTTGACAGTCTTGGGCTACATCGATTTAAAAGAACATTTATGTGGATAGGGGATTCATGCTTACATAGTAATATCAACAATATCATCACCTCCATTGATTGCTCCATGGACAATATGCAAACAACGTGGATTGCAAGTTTCCCTTAGCTAAACTAATAAATTCTATTAAAAAAACAAAAGATATGAAAACGATGTTTTTGGCTGGCAATTGTTATGATAATTAAAGATTGCATATCGAGTTGAAGGCTTCAATATGCTAGAAAATGACAAATAGGGTTGCTCTCTTTTTCCTCCTTTTGCTTTCCAAGAAAGGTTAACGAAGAACAAAGTGATTCGAGCAACATACATAGCCCCATTTCTTCCACAAAATATCTTTTCCTTCGTGGGCACACTATAGTGTAGATGGTGGAACTTTTTTTCTTTTTAGATAGACTAGCTTTTTACCCGACCCGTTGGTCGGATGAATTTAGTTTTATTTATTATATTTTTATATTAATTTATTTTTTCATATTTTCAAATAATTTGGGATCGTCTAAATAATTTATTAGTGGGTTGAAACTAATATTTGTGCGAATTATTGATTGTAACATTAGTTAGTTTATAAGTATTTGTATTGATCATGATATTGCTTACTGTTGTCTATATATTTTTTACATTTAAGAAAAAAATTACTTCCTATTGTTAGAATAAATTACTTAAAAAATATTTCTTCATAAAATTTGATATTATTCACTTATTTTTCTATTATATCCATGAAAATAAAATAATTAAGCATTGAAGTATTAATTATAAACTCCAAGGGATTTTCCCTATTAGTAATTTGGAGGGATAAAAATTTATCAAATAAAGGATTCAAATTTTATGGTCGACAACCATTAGGTACTAATTGAGAAAATACAAAATTATTAACTAATAATTCACTTTTAAATAATATATATCTCCAAAAGCAGTTGTGGTTGTTAATAGCTAACATTAATGTATACGGATAGTACAAATGTATTATAATGGACATATCTGAAATATTCCAATTATTTCTTCAAAATTTTAATTAAATAAGGCACTCTATAGTTCAAACATACAATCATTTGTTGTGAAAATTAAGTTTCTGAAAAAGATTCATGATTTTGGGAAATCAATATGGATTTTTTATAATTGATTTTGGTGTTGCCTTTGATATCTAAAAGTCAACACTTATAGATTTGTCTACTATGTCATTTGAAAGATTCTAAAAATTTATAACAAATATGTACCACCAACAAATAAAAACTTTTTTGTCAAAAATTTGTGTGCCCATAAATTTGTTCTTAGCTTTGTGCTCGGCTTTTAGCTCGATAGTATAACATATGCTAAATTTACGACAGTCCTTGTGTCTGCCACCTATTTCATAGCATATTAGGTTTCGAGTATCCACAAATATTAGTACGCTTTCAACAATTATGTTTATAGTTACGCGTATACTAACATTATGAAGTGAAAATTTACAACAATAAATAACTATAATAAAGAAAATTAATTAAAAAGAACACCATCCGTAAAGCTCAAGAATTATTAGTGAATTAGTTGGTAATCTATTATCCTCTTGAAAAAAATGGACAATTACATTATGCTCATCGCTATTTTTGGAAGGTCAGATGATCAACAATAAAAGTCGGGGAATTTCAAGAAGATTCCCAAAGATGTTTCCCTCCCTCCAGGCAAATGATCGACTTTGCTTTTGCTAGTAGAGAATGGAGCTGTTATACCTGCATAAAACAATGTCTCTTGAAATAGTGTTTATTTTCAACAACTTGCACAATTCCAAATTGATTCATAGGTCAACGCGATCACATATTTTATTGACTTATCTGTTGATCATTATAATTAGAAGCAACAAATAAAATGAAAAGCATAGTGATAAAGATGACTATTAATACCATAGACCGATAGACGCATCCCTCTTCGCTACTTTCTGTTGGCAACTATGGAAAAATAGAAACCTCTGGGCCTTCGAGAGACTATTGGCGCCGGCAACCCAGTTAGCCTACCAAATCCGGCAAATGCGAGTGCAGATTGATCAATCTTCCAGGAGGATTGGGCAAGTTCTCGGGGAGGCTACAGAGCGGGTGGAAAGGGGAAATAGAATAGGGTTTGGGATTTTCACAAAAAGGCTACAATTTCCCCTTTATTAGTTGTTCTGGGCGTCGCCCACCAAAGTGAAAACGCGTCTCCGAGTGCCCAGGTGCCTAGATCAATCGCCCAGAGCTAGAATGGGCGATTTCCTCCTGCCCAGCTATTAATCGCGCCTAGGCGAGAGATTAATCGCGTCTTCTTGAACACTGAATAAAAGTGGACCAAACAAAGACATTACATCCAACTCATTTCAGTTCCATCTTAACACAGTATCGGAGGCATGTACTATTATTATACAAATGATCTTACGCTCTCAATTAGGAACTAAACGAAGGTTAAATGCTTGATTGGCAAACTAAATCGATGAACCTAGTGATCTTAAAGAAAAAATTAATGATCACATGATTTCTTGGACCAAACTACTAAAGGAAAAAAAGAAAAAAGAGACCGTACATTAGCATAAGAACTCAACAAATTACTTATAAGAACTAATGACATAAGGAAAATGTAAACTCAAACCGTTCTTCCGAAGGTCATGGATTAAATCATTAGTTGTCGATTACATAGCCTAAACTGCAAGTTATATCCAAAATAGAGGCAATTTAGAAACAAAAAAGTTAGATAAGAAAGCCGTGAAACACAGAAAAATTGAGTGAACAAAGTGGGAAGTATTGCTTTCAATTAAGCTTGATTATGTTGACATAAAGCAGGCACACATTGACGTTGGAAACCTAAACAAAAAGCTTAAAAAGTGGCAAGAGAATTCTTCCCTTGAGGTTCAAATATAGCCTAACCATATGAGTAGAGCCAAGTTATTACCATGATTCCATTTTACACATACCATCTCACAACCAACTGCTGCTAATGCTCTGGTCTGTTCCAAACCTCACCTGCTCATATCTCCAATACCATATCACGAAACCAAGAATTATACACAACTAAAAGATCCAATAAGGAGAGTAACTTAGCATGGAACTTTGTGATGGGGGAAAATTCTATGGTCAGTATTAAGCTGTGCAAATTATATCACCTCTGCAAAGCTCACTACTTCCAGTAGTTTCTCACAGAACCAGCTACCGTCCTAATCCCTTCCTTCCTTCCTTCCCAGGGTTAGAGTGTGAAAAATGGCGTCCATCTCCGCCACAACCACAGCTTCTTCCTTCATCCATGCATCTCTCCGTCGCAACCCCTCTCTAGGGGTTTCCTCCGCCCCAGTTCTCGGTGAGTACTCTTGACGCCCCCCTCCCCTGAAATTCACAATTACCTCTGGCTTTTATCAATTCAGCTTGGGGGAACCAAGAAATTGAATCGATTGGGTGATATGCAGGGCTGCCGTCGATGGCGAAGAGAGGAAGAGTGGTGAAGTGCTCGGCGGAAGGAAACGGAAGCAACGGCAGCGGGTGGGATAAGAAGGGGATGTTGAGCGCTTCGCTGATGGCGGCGGTGGCCGCAGCAGCTACGTCGAGCCCAGCGGCGATGGCTCCTCAACGGATGCGATTAGCTGGAGTGATTTGTAGCGACCTTCTAGAGGCTGAAGCAGTGAAGAAAGAAGAAGCAGGGTTCGTGGCGGCGGGGGAGACGGTGGTGGCGGCGGCAGTAGTTGTGCTTCTCTCCGGAAGGGAAAGCCTCGATCGTCGACAACCTCTTCGCCACGAAGATCGTTCGCTGCACTCCCAAACGCGATCCCCTCAGTCGCAGCAGAAGCGGGCCGTCACTGCTTTCCGCCACTGACCACCACAACGTCTGGTCGTCTTCCCATGAACTCAGCAACAGCCGGCCGTCAGCGCCTTCCTCCGCTGAACACGAAACCGTGACGCCTCTTACCAGAATTTTCCGATGGAAACTGATTCTCCTCCTGTCCTGCGGGTAGGCGAAAGGATAACCCAGTAGAAAAGGTGGTATTTCAGCCAAACGAAAATTAAATGAAAAATAAATGATAACTAAATGATAACGTGGGAAATCCGGAGAAAAAGGTGGGTAGTGGACGATTCTTAGTTCCGCAATCTGACGGGGAGTTCTATTTTTTTCCCGCTCAACACCCTGCCACATCAGCTTCCTAAAATCACTCTATGGACAGGAAAATTTGAATGGGGGTTGCAGTTTTACTTTTCAGCTATAAATTATACTGTTGATGAGGTCTCACTTTGACGAGGATGGGAATCCATATTGTTATGGCTCATACTGTTGCGAATAATCTATGGACGAGAACTTTGAGATCGAGAATCAAAATAATCAAAACAATTTATGTTATTTCCCTATATAGAAATTCATGAGATATTTAGCGACTAAAATCACAATGTTTGCCGCTCTACAAAAATGGATCAAAACAACTGCTTTGTAAAGCCACGGTAAAATGAAAAATTTAGTTATCATAATTTTTTTTAATTTAATAACCCAAAATTTGACCATTATATACAATACTGGGTGGGGAATTTTTTTTTTTTTTTCTCTCACAACAGATACAACATTCCAACATTTTTCTTACCAAGATCATATTTGTTTTGGGCTTTTGCTTTTTGGGGGCATTTCAGGAATCCTCCACCTTAAGAATGTTTAACAACATAGTTCTTATAAGTACTCCTTTAATTTCACCCAAAACTCGTCTTCTCATGGTTCATTAGGATCCATTGAAAAACTCGTCCTCTCTAGGTCGAATGGTTCCTTAGGATCCATTAATCTCTCACGTATTTGTCAATAATTTGACTACGTGTTTGCAAGCTTTGTTTTAAGTAATCACACTAGTTAATCTTTTTTGTCTCATCCAACCACGATGAATTCCCACCCAACAACAAAATATTAGTGCACCGGTTGCCTATTTGGCATAGGCACATTATCACTGCCTTTATTACCTTTCATTTCGCCAAACTTGTACCAAAATTGTTGTGCATCTACACTTGTGTGAAAGTCAACAAACAACTAATTGCTTGGTCCCATTACTCTTACTCTAAAATATGAGCAGAAAGTCGCCCTTCCACACTGTGATGAAATTCCCTACCTACAATCTTCACCACGCTAATCACATGTATTTAAACAACAGTAACACAGCTCCATTGGAGCAGTACATTATCAAATGGACCATCAATCAATCACTGATGCAAAACAAAGCTTTCAACCATGCGATTAACCATTGCAATCAGACTAGAAAGTCGACCACACAACCTATAGAACACCTAGTGTTGAGAAAGAGACTTGAACGGTGCCGAGATGATGAACTGACATTAAAGGGCATTCAGATTCCAGAAACAACATAGCTACTATGTTTGCAACATTTCACATAAGATCAAACAAGTGTTGAGACAAGGGATAGATCTAATTGTTCCAAGTAATTGCCAAAACTAGACTGTTCAATTTCCAGAATAGCTTACATGACCAACTAACGACGGTTCATTGATCAGCCTAACCCACACACAAAAAGCTGGATGTTGTACCCCTTACATTCCAGTGAAGGCCTTCTTTCCACCGCCAGAAGATCCAGCAGGAATAACCTTCAACACATTAAATCTCACGGTCTTTGACAGAGGCCTATGACAAAGAAAGAGAAGATTTCAGTGAACATACACGGGAAGGAAAACTTCGGAGCAGCTAGCGTTGACAATATAGTTTTTAATCAAATGGGGTAGTTACCTGCACTGCCCAATGGTAACGTGATCTCCTTCCTTGACACGGAAGCATGGTGAGACATGAGCGGGGATATTAGAGTGTCTCTTCTCATACCTATGGATGAATGGCAAATCATTTTTCCTTGTTAGTAGTTCAGACTGAAAATGGTAATAAAAAAATATATAGCAAAAATGTCAGCATCAGTACCTCTGGTATTTCTTCACATAGTGAAGATAGTTACGACGAACAACAATTGTTCTCATCATCTTAGCACTGTGGCATGTTCCAGCAATAATACGACCCCTGATGGAAACAGTGCCGGTGAAGGGGCATTTCTTGTCAATGTATGTTCCTGAAAGATCATATCAAATCAGCAAAAAGACACGATTCAACATAACTAGTGAGTCACGGAATCGTCTTATATTAAAACATCACACAAGATTGTGAATAAATTGAACATCAGTTTCCAGATGCAGAAAGGAATAGAAACAAATGCTCCCAGAAAAATATCGATTCAGTGACGGCTGGCCCGATTCTCACACTATACAAATTTTGCCAGATACCACAGAGGAAACCAAGATATTCTGATTTCTCAAAGCCAGACAACGAAAAGCTCAGCTCGAGGTAGAGCAGAGTAAGGAGGAAGTCTACTTAATTCCTCAGACCACGAGCAGACTAAAAAGGAGGCGGACAACTTAACTCCTTTGCTTGGATTTAGCTCAAAATCTAGTTGAAGTTCTTAAGACTACTATTCTTACTATGTCCCAACTTCAATGTACGGAGCCACTACAGCAGGGTTAGTAGGAGCATTTAACTCCTCCGAGCTCGAGCAGAGTAAAAAGGAGCGGAAAATACATAACTACTTCAAGAGGATTAAGCTTAAACGTTTGTCTACTCTCAAACTAATATCCTTACTACGTCACAGCTTCAATGTACTAATAATCTCTTCCGGAATAAACACTAGGAATCTACTCAGAAAATATCTAATTTTATGCATACCTAATCAATAAAAGATAACCTCTTCAATAACTTCTAAATTCTACTATTCACAATACCGAAACAAAATAATCGCATCTAATCTAACACAACATACATAGACATTAACAATCATCAGCTCGCTCAAGTTCATCTAACGCATAAGAAAAGAAACGTACAAACTGAATAGCCATAAAAAGGTATGAAAACCAAAATACCTTCGATGGCTTCTCTGGGAGTCTTGAAGCCCAACCCAATGCTCTTCCAGAAGCGGTTTCCTCCCTTTCCAGGCCTCTTTCCCTTGCCAGTTTTTTTCGAGCTAAGAGACAACAGCGATTCAGATAGTGAGCACGAAAGACATTTGCTTGAAGAAAAAACTAATCAACAGGGCAGGGAAGTTCCTAGCTCACTGAGAAACCTCACCTAAGGAAAACCTTGGGTTGCTTCAGAAATGCCTTCTCAGTCTGCAACAGAACAGGAAAAACAGAACAAAACCCTTCTCAGTAAGAGATCGATTTCGTAGCTGATTTTACCAAACGGGGAAAGCAATAGAAACGATAACATACCTGCTCCGCCATGATTGATCGTGGGCTTGTTTCTCCGAAGAGGTGAGAAGGAAGCGGCAAAACGAAGAAGGCGAGAGGCGAAGAACGACGAGTTTGAGGCTGCCTATGGTAAACCCTAGCTTGCGTTTATATACCTGGACCCGATTGTGCTTTTCTAAGGAAGACCTACTTCTCTAGCCACGTATTATTGGGCTTGAAAACTGGTATGGGCTGGGCTTGGTATACACTGTAAGACTAATAGATCTGATAAAGCCAATTTGGGTGAAGAACAAATCCCATTGAATTATGCACATATCCTAATCCTACCACATTATTTAACGATTATATTTTTTTATATAATGATGATAAACTTAACGATTATAAACTTAGGGTAGGGAGTCCTACCTCTAATACTTTTTTTTATAACTCATCCTGAAATTTATTAATGCATCAAAGGCAGGGATTGATTACAGTCAAAATTGAGTTGGTTCACTAACATAACCAGTGGTCGATCGAACCAGACTTCATTCTCTTCCCAATTACATCTCACCCGAGCCATTTGGTGGGCTGATTCATTCCCCTTTCTCCCCCAAAACCGAACCCTAACCCCCATTTACTCCATCATCATCTTCCTTATCTCCCCACAAATGGTATCAACCTCCAATTCAGAGTGCTCTTCCTCTTGAATTCTGTTTATTACTGACAAGCAATCTGATTCAACTATCATCGGCCGGTACAAGTGCATTAATGACAGCTTCATCGCCCAGGAAATCGCTTTCGTTCCGGCGTCCAGGGAGTTCTCGTTCGATGAACTGCTGCCATCTTGAAGACCCCTGCTTCATCACGAATTACCATCCCGAAGCCAGTGCCCCCTTCATTTAGAATCGCAGCATCAACATTCACTTTGAAGGTTCCCGCGCTTGGTCTCTGCCATCTGTAATCCTGCTTCTCCGATGTCGTTGGGTGAGTTCTCTTTTCTTGCACTGCCTTGAACTCCTCTGGATACTGTACAGAACGGACAATAATCTCTCATTCTTCCAACTTAGGATTATTGAACAAGTGATTATTTCTTTCTTTTCATAGAAACCATAGGGCCGTTATGAATGAGCTCAATTCCTCATCCGTCGATGTTTCCATTACCTCACAAAACCATTCTTCGCTAGTTTTGTTGTCTCCCATGCTAAAGATCTTGTTGAGCGAACTAGGGCGCCAGACTCTACAAGTTCAATCACAAATACGGGTAATGTGTTTCTGCATCTCGAGTAATCCACAGAATGGACATCCCTCATAGGCCTCCTTAACCATGCGCACTAGATTCGAACCTGTGGGAAGTATGTTACTTCCCCATCTCCAGATGAAAACTCTTATCTTCGGTGGGATTTTCAGATGCCATAGATGTTTCCACTCAATTGGGACGTATCTTTCCCCCACTTCAGTCTCCTTCTTTCTTCCCCATAGGTAGTAGGCAGATTTGACTGAGTATCTCCCCCGTTTCTCAGGTCCCCAGACTAGTATCTTCAAATGGATGCTGTGGTAGGGGAATCTGAGTGATTCTCTTTTGATCTTCTGGTTGGAAATGCCTTTGTAGCAGGTTGCTCTTCCAAGTTCTAGTTTCTTCATCAATCGGAATCGCCACCCTAGCATCCCAGTGCAGTCCATTCATTTGTGTCTCAACTTTGTAGTCTGGTCCTTCGGGTACCCATTTGTCCCAGCATATTCTGGCTTGCTTTCCATCCCCAATTCTCCACCTTGTTCCTTCTCTAACCACCCCTTGAACTACCATCAGAGATCTCTAAATGTAGCTAAGGGTGTTACCAATCTCAGCCTCTAGGATTGAGCAGTGAGGGTAGTATTTGGCTCTGAAGACATGTACTACTAGGGAGGTTGGATTTTGAAGCAGATTCCATACCCGTCTTCCTAGAAGCGCCAAGTTAAAGTCATGAAGATCCCTGAATGCCATTCCTCCTTCTTGCTTTGATCGACACAACTTCTCCCAACTCATCCAGTGTATTCTCTTTTCCTCCTGCTTCCTTCCCCACCAGAATCCCGCTATTAAACTCTATATCTCCTGGATTACTCCTTGCGGTATGAGGAACACAGACATTGCATAATTTGCTTGTGCCTGAGCTATTGATTTGATCAGAATTTCCTTGCCAGCTGTTGACATAGCTTACTCTTCCACATTTTTACTTTTTTTCCGGACTCTGTCTATTAGCTAACTAAACACAACTTTCTTGGATCTGCCTATAACAGTTGGGAGGCCAAGGTATTTATCATGGTACTCCACTTGTTTCATGCCCAAAACTGCCGCCACTTGATCTCTCTGAACTCCTTTGGTGTTACTACTGAGCGATAGTTCTGATTTTTCTACGCTTACTTGCTGGCCCGACTCCATCTCGTATTGCTTGAGAATCCTCTTTAGCACTGCTGCTTTCTTTGTAGTATTCTCTAGGAAGAAAATACTATCATCTACAAAAAATAAATGGGTTAATTTCGGGCCATTTTTGCTTACTCGGATTCCATGCAATTCTTCTCTTTCCACTGCCTTTTTTGTTAGGGCAGAGAGACCTTCTGCACATAGAAGGAAGAGGTATGGGGAGATTGGGTCTCCCTGCCTCAGACCTCTTGTAGGTACTATGACTGGCGATCTGTGGCCATTAGGGATGGGAAAATATCCGTAACCGTGGATATCCGCCCGAATTCGACCTAATTGGGTAGGGTAAAACCCGAACCCGAAGGACTTTTAGCGTGTATGGGTAAAACCTGAACCCGAATATTGCGGGTAATGGGTGGGCATGGTTTTCGCACTATCCAACCCGAACTCGATTATACATATGCACATGTATTTTGTCTAGAAAATCATTATTTTTCTCTAACATAATTTTTATTTAGCATATAAATATAACATTTTATGCAATTGTGTTGTTTTAATTAATGTTCTTCATTCTAGTGAATTATTGTCGTGTTTTTTCCTCTTATGTAATGTGAGAATACGTGTGAATGTTAACAGATTTGTTGGAGTTATAAAGAGAATTTATTACCCATGGATATCCGTGGATACCCGAACCCGAACGGGTATGGACATGGTTTTAATTTTCTACTCATTTCTTTAGTGGGTATGGGTATGGTTAGAACCCGAACTACTTTGGGTAGGGTAACGGATATGCACTATCCGCGCCCAACCCGAACCGTTGCCATCCCTAGTGGCCATTGACCAGGGCTGACTAACTGACTGTAGTTACACACTTCATTATTATGTCCACCCAACGTTCATTAAAACCTAATTTCAGCATAATCGCCTCCCGGAAGGACCATTTTACTCGGTCATAAGCTTTTGCGATGTCCAGGAAGGATCATTCTACTCAGTTGAATTAGATAAAATCAAATCATCTTCAATCATGGGATGAGATATTATACGACTTATGACTTGTCCTCATCCGCGTTTGATGAATACGTTATGCTCTCACATGTTACGTGACGGATATGAATATCGAGATTTTCGTGCTATTATATCCGACTGTCCCATTGCCATTCATACCTGCATAACTTTGTTTGTTTACTTACAACAACTGGTCTTAAAATCAGTAGCGGAGGCAGCCCTATTAGGCATTGCCCCGGGATAGGGGTAAATTTTGGGAGAAACAAAAATATTTCATATATATTTATACGAAGGATGAAACACAACACCATTGTACTTCGTTACTATATCACAACTCATTATTTATCATAAATTGACAATGAATTAATTATTATACAATAAACGAAATCTCAATTGGAATGGCTCTTTTCTTTATATGCCTATTCGAATATTTGCAAGCAATCTTGAAGCAGTCCAGTGGCAGCGCCGATTCCACTAGTTTTGACAGCAAGTGTCGATAAAATATTTTCAGCTTTGAGCTATCTGAAGAACGAACTTTGAAGTCGAACTCACGACCAGTTTGCTAATGGTTGTTTAGTGAGATCCATTGAAAATGACTTACTTAAGTGTGTAGACAAAGAATGTATTGTGTGTTTCTCCCGAATATGAAAACTCGTCATGGTTGTTTATGAAAATACCGATTGTAATAGTAGTTAATTTTCATATATGAAAATAAATTATTTAGATATTGTTAATTTAATTATACTCATTAAATATTTATATATTTATAATATGAAAAGAGGACAGTGGTAGTTTCAAATCCTACCTCCGCCACTGCTTAAAATATATTTGTAAATAAATATGAACAATACCAATTCTAAGAGATCAAACTGACAATAGTAATTAAAATTTAACATCGAATTTATTCTAACTTTGAAACCAACGTCACCGTAAAAACAAATTTATGACCTCATTTTGTCTCGGAACAAACTGTTTTTGTCTTCCAAAACAAAATTTGCAGACCATATATTCCCTTCCCTCCCCCATTTCCCTATTTTCTCCCAAAGATTACGATCTACACTACGCACCAAGAAACAAAACAAATAAAGAAATGGCGAGAAAGGAAAATGGGCAAATGGCAATGGATTGCGAAAGATAGAAGATTAGCGCGACGCGACAGCATGTGGCACCGAATATTTGCCCCCTTCGCGGCTTCGCCCCTTCCCTTGGCCTTTAACCCCATTCCTAACAAACCCTTCTCTCTCTCTCTCTCTCTCTCTCTCGCTCCATTTCCTTCTCTCTTAATAATTGAAGAGGGGAATTTATCCCATTTCTGAAGTGGAATTTGAAACCAAGGACGTAGCAGCAGCGACTTCCTCACACTTTTTTTAGAGCTCTCTGTAGGCCACGGTGGTCCGGCGACCGGAATGGGTTCCGGCAGCAGTCGTCCGCGGTCGCGCCCATCTGAGTCCCGACCCAGCGCCAGCAGCACCCCCGTCAACCGCTCCCCTTCTAGGATTCTGTCATCCATCATCTGCGGTGGCTCTTCTTCTTCTTCCCGCGCTGCAGCTGAGGTGAGAGCGACAGGCCGGTTGTTGTTGTTGTTGTTGTTGTTGTTGTGAATTGCTTCTTATTGAATAAAGTTGGTGTTTTTGATCGTGGGGTGATTGTCATTTCTGATCGCGAGCAGACATTGTTGACTTCTGGGTGGTTCCTGGAGACCAATATTTAGTGGGTTTGTTTGGCTGGTTGGGGGGTTTTGATTAGGTGGGCGATTCTTAGATTGTTAATGGGTGGCTGTTTGTGTGCTCAACCTTGAACATCTAAGATTGCAGCTTGCTTCAATCCTTGTTTTGGGGAGTGATAAGGGGAATGACCTTTCTTGTTGGTATGCAAATAGATATTTATGATTTGGTCTAATGAATAATGATAGCTCTATAGCATGTTTGAGTCTGTCCTTTATAGCGAAGTCATTAGCTCTTGTTGAATCATTTAGAGGGGATAGTCTGTGCTACCAAAAACAGAACAAGTGGGAGAATGATCCACATATGCATAATTCTGTAGTATCTTGGAAGAGCATGGATTATTGTTTATGTCATTCGGCAGGCAACACACAGTTTGCTTTATAGCATTTTTCACTCATCTGATGTCTCCCGTTTGTGGAGGAGACTGATCTTGAGCTATCAATGACTCTGCATCATTAGATGTGGATGGTTGTAAAATTGTTTGAAATGTATACATGTGGTGTTAACTTGAGTGCTTCTTGTGTATATGTCGCATTTGTTTATATTTTATGAGCATGTTTGATCATTTGAGGATTGATTTTATTGATGAATCTTCTGACTAGCCTCCCTCTTGATTTTGCATAGATGGAAGGTCGTCCTTACGAAATGTTAAAGAGCACTGTGGAAAATGGTGAGGCAGGGGCCAACAAAATACAAAGCCTTGTACTGGAATCGTCTGCCATAATTGGCTCAGAAACAGTTTCTGCCAATTCTGATAGTGCCATTGGCCATTCATCAACAGGGAGTAGTACTACAGCCAGCAAGAGAATCGTTGGTGAAGGTGGTTTGAGAAACCCTGGAACAAGTAATCAAGAGAGACGTTTCTCCGAAAGTTTGGGGTTAGTTTCTTCCCAGGTATGTGATGAATATGGCTACAACGACTCTTTTAGGAATAGGTATAGTGGTGAAGAAGCTAGTACTTCATTTAGAGAACAACAACAATCTTCAGATCCTCTCTCTGTAAATATTTTGGCTAACAAGGATGCAGTCAATCCAGAGAATAGTAGAGATATGCATGCAGAGAGTTCATCTCAAGGGCTACTGCACGCATCGAGTTTTGGCAGGGCTTCTGTTGAGAATCACATGGATGAAATGACAACTTGGCCTCTGCACAATTCTGATTCTGTTTCTGGACGAGAAGCAATTCCTGAGGGTTCAGGACTTCCGGTGACGGAACAGGCCCAGGATGATGGAGATGTTCTTCATGTAGATGTTGTGAGCATCTCTTCCAGCATCTTCTCTAGGGGAACGGCTGATACGGCTAGCCCATATGAGACCAGAAGAAACAGTAGAAGACTATTCTGGGATGCATTTTCAAGACGCAGTTCTTGGAGGCCTATGGATTCTCCAACCATTGTGTTATCTACTGATGATAGTCCTGATGATTTACAATCTCACGATAGATGGCTCCTCGATTTTAGTGGCGACTTTTTCAATGATGGTGTAACTAGTAGCGATGCTGGATACCCGGGCAGCAGGATTCGTAGCTGGACTGATCGGAGACGCCAATCAAGATCAGAGGTGATGCTTGTACTAATTTGAATTGGCTTTTAGTTGTGTTGCAGACTTAACTCAGTTTGTGGTTAGAATGATTTGACAGTTTGTCATGTAACCTTATGCCTAACTTTTTTTGCATTCACCTTTCATCATAAGATTTGGGAGAGGCTTGTGGGCAACCTTGAGGATGATGATCGACGATCACCAACAGTCTGTCCTTCTGGACTTCACCATGATGGTACTTGTTCATGTGAATCACTCTTGTCAGGAGGGGAGTCGAGTACTCGTGCAAGTATATCGCGTATAGTCATGCTTGCTGAAGCTCTATTTGAGGTGCGGCTTGTGGCTTGTCTTTGATTATAATGGTTGGATTCTACTGTTGCTATATTCTAATGACACTTCAATTTTTCAGGTGTTGGATGAAATCCATCGCCAGCCTTCTTCACTTCCTCAGTCCATGGTCTCACTCCCAGCTCCAGAATCTGTTGTTGACTCTTTCCCTCTTAAGAATCACAAAAAAGTGGACAAGGTTGAGGATGATGAAGAAGCTGAGCAGTAATTTCCTTCCCTAATTCATTTCAAGTTTTCACAGAACCTTGCTAGTGCTAATGTGATTGTGGTAATAAACTTATGGTGGATGAATGAACAGGTGCTACATATGTCTGTCTGAGTACGAAGAAGGGGATAAAATACGAGTGCTTCCCTGCCATCATGAGTATCACATGTCATGTGTTGATAAATGGCTCAAAGAGATCCACGGGTATTTTGCTAAAATGCTAGCTTTCCCGGCTGTTTACTGTGTTTTTCAATGATCTCTGCCTCAACGTCTTCCTTACTTTTTCCCAGGGTCTGCCCACTCTGCCGTGGAGATGTTCGCCAGACTGACCCCGAGCTTTCTGCTCCCACCTCAGAGATTCCTTCACTCTGATCATAGAAATTGTATATGCTGCAGAATGTAAATAGCACTCTCATTACGGTTAAGGAAGAGAGTTCCATTTGTAAAATATCGAAGCACCTTTCGTACCAGATGTATCTGTATACATTTGAAACCCCTCTGCTATGATACCAAAAAGAACTGAAATCGACATGGATAAACAAAGTACAGAAGAACATGGTTCTTCTTTTTGGCAGTTTTATACACTGCAAATAGCATAAACGAACATCTCTGGTCACCAATGGAATGAAGATTAGCTGTTCCAGAAAGGATTCTGGAAGGAGGTTGATACCGATTCTGGCTTCTCAATCCTATGATGGCTATTCCCTGTGTTGCTAGAATCTTGAAGGAAAGGGTTGGAACTCTTGTTGATGTTGTTGTTAGAGTTGTGACTACTGAAAAGATTTGGGTGGCTATTCTCATCATCGTCATCCTCGAATGTCGTCCATCGCTTTGAGTTGTTCAGATTCTTCTCCCTGGTAGCATTCCTCATGTTCTCCATCTCACCCACATGATCTTTGAACTCTTTCTTCACCACATCCAGCACCACATCGCCATATCTATCGCACCAAGACCTTCATTGAATTCCAAAATCAGTGTGTGCTACTGGAAATAGTTTCATCAGAAGAGTTCATTTTTTCACTTACTTGGGAAAGAAGTTCTTGAGGTCAGCTTTGTCAACAGGAAGCTTAGTGGAGATTGCTTCCATTTGGTCATCCCTGAAAAAATATGGTCACAAGCACCTTTCATATATGCTCTCTATATTCAGCAAAAAGCCATATATAAAAACAAAAGGCTTACGAGAATTTCAGATTTGGATTGGTGGTGGATAGCTCAGTTTGAATCCTTGATAGCTCCTTCTTGATGTTATTCCCCAACACCTTGTCTATGAAGAAATCCGAAGGAGTTCCATTCGAGTGAAGCTTCCTTTTGATCTGTTTCGTATTAGGGCCTTCTCCAATGGGACTTGTAACAAGGTTTCCATACTCATCTTCACCATCTCCTGATCTTCCGATGTTCAGTGGCAGCGGAGCTGTCTCGTCCTCCGAATCATTCCTTTTCCACCATTGCTTCTTCTTTGCCGATTTCTCACTACTCTGTTCTTTGCTATTATGAAACAGAGTCCTGAACGGCTTCCTCTTCGCCTTCTCGCCGCTCCCATTCTCCTTCCTCGGAGATCCAGCAGTCTTTCCGCTTGCTTGCATCAGAATCGACTTTGTTTCGCTCTCCTTCACCAAGTTACCAACATTCACAATTGGGCTCTCGTCCATTCCTCCGCCATTAGAATGCCCGCAGGACTGCCGTTTAGCCTCGATCTCGAATATGCTCTGCCTCCGGTTGCTCTGCTTGTGAAACCCGAACAGAGTCGAACCTGCCCCTTTGATCTGCTTCATCCCGGGTGAGCTTGATTGCTTCGATTTGCTCTTGGATTGCGGTGTCGGCTCACGTTTCTCGTCTTTCAAGTCAATCACTGACCATTCTTCTTCTCTGTTTTCATCCACATCACTCTGTTTCCCACCGACGATCACATCGCTTGCCTCGATTTCTGCACCTTGGATTGCCAATCTCTGCAGCAACGGCCGCTTTGAAGAGTGATACTCTTCATCCGTTATACATTTCGCATACAGCAATTCCTAAGAAACGAACAAGGTGAATTGAATTGAATTTGGCCAATTTAGGGTTGGTTCCCCTTGTTAATTTTTTTTTTACCAATTTCGTAGTAAAGGCTCAAACTTCCTCGTTACCTGGAGGAAGATCAATTTGTCCCTCAAGACGACGGAGTGCTCGTGCTCCGGAGGAGAAGCGATGAGCGTTTCGAGCAAGTGGGATCGAAACGCCGAGACCTCGTGCTGCTCCAAGATCCCTTCTTTCTGGAGGCCCATCAGGTTGAGGATCTGGTGGAACGATTCCTGCTGCCATTTGAGGTTGTCGGACTGGATCTTGTTGAGGCGGTGCTCGGCCGCGGCTAGCCGGCCGCGCTTCTTGAAGGAGAAAGGCAGGATGGTCTTGCAGAGGGAAGTGATGGAGTCGTGGAGCGTGGAGTAGTAAGCTGGCGTGTAGCTGTACACCATTTTCGACGAGGACGATGAAGACGAAGAGGATCTGTTTGGGGTTGCCAGAGCTGCTTGCTTGCTGGTTCGTGTGCTGCTGATCTTGACGAAAGGGATTTTTGAGGTGTTTGGGTTGCTGAGAATTTTGGATGGGAAACGGTGTTTTGAGAGCTTGGTGGAAGAAAAATGGTGGGATCGTTTGTGGGAGTTGGTTGAGGCGCACTTCAAGATGTTTGAATTTGGGAGGGGAACGGTCACTTTTAGAGGAACTAGCCGTTGTGGCGGTGAATGATTTGATCATGTGGGATGTTTGGGACGCCGTCGTTTTCGAGGGTAACGGTCGTTGATATGGGCCAAAACGTTTTTTTATTAGTGGGCCTGTATGTGGGATGGAAGTTCTTATCAGCCCATCACCCTTCTCATTATTTTGGTTAATTGACTATTTATTAGTCAAATTTTTTTCGAATTCTTTTTTATTAGTCGAACTTATCGAAATACTAAGAATTAGTCAAATGTTAATTTTCATTTAGTAATTTTGTTAGTAATATTGACTTGGCATCATGATAGGGACTTGGAAGAGACACATGAAGGTCAACATTCCATAATTTATTATTTTAACTAAGAAAAGAGTTACAAAATTATTAACGATAACATAAAAATGGCTAATATTTTGATGCATTACGAAAGATTTGGCTAATTAATAGCATTTTAATATGTGTGGATAATATAAAAGAATATGGAAAAATGTTTGGATAAAAAATAGACATTAACAAATATACCACTTTACTAATTTTTTGCACGAAAATACCCTTGTAGTATTAAAACGTAACAAACATATCATGTCGTCTAATTTTCTGTTAAATGACCATTTAATGAGATGTTACAAGACCCAATTACCCCTCATTAATTCTTAATTTTGATTTAATTATTTTTTGTCCCTAACCAAATTAATTAAAAATTACAACCTACATACTCCTAAATTTCTCAGACTCCAAAAGAAATCATAATTAAGACTCGATTATAGCATATACGAACTTTAGACGATCATGCAAGATCAAAGAACAAACCAAAATCAAGACGTTTTTACCCGACCACGATTACAACCAAACATCAACAAATTTTTGTAAGAAAATGGTTTCAGTTGAATATTCCGAAATTCAATTTTGTCAAAAAGATATAAAGTGGCATAATAATAATTGTTTTAAAGTGAGTGGGAAAAGGATGATATGGAAGGCAACTCATGAGTGAGTGAATTGGCCAACTCACATGGTAGGCAAAGGCAAGACTGTCGCGCACTAAATATTTACCATTTATCCTTACAATTATTGAATGAGAGTGTTGAAAAAGGTGGAAATATGGGGGAAAAGATACTTTGGATAATTTGATGGTGGTGTTTGTTAAGTGATCTTTTATGACTAATCTACACATAATTATTGAATCAAAATGCTCTTAATCATGAAGCACTCAAACCAATCCCCTGCTTCTTATTAGGCAAGTACTATTTGATGTTCATCAGACAAATTAGCACTCGCATAATACTCTTTTGATATTACCATTTGATTCAATCATGACGGGTTTAAAAACCTTCACAGTTCACAAACTTCGAGGCTCCGATTAACAGACTTTCTTGATGGTTCTTGTAATTGGAATGAACGAATTGTTTCTGAGTACTGGCTTGCTACAACTGCATTGATAAGAATTGAATGGAAATCACATGAACCTTCAAACAAGAATCCATTTTTAACCAAGGACTAGGTACTCTAAACCATGACATGAGAGAATCACCATACCACAAACCCTAGTGGGATGAATAACATAGCAATAATAGGTATGAGATACTGACTGATCTCTAGTTTGGTCCACATAGTAGACAGAGGGTTGTACTGGTGCATAATTATTGAGCAAAATCATATCAAAACAAGGCCAGGTTGTGGGATGGGCAAAGAGACTTTGACAGATGGTGATTTATGGGGCCATTTGCTTCACTTGTTTGGTTGTGTTGCTAGATGGTTCTTGGGAGATCAATATGCAACCACCCACTCCCTCTGAGCTCCTTGTGTCTTGGCCACATAATTCCAAACCCTAACAATACACTAGGACAGTTAGAGAAATGGAGGGGAAATTGAAAGAGAATGCACAAGATCGTTTCACATTAGTCACCATCATTTCCTCGAGAAAATATATAGTTTGACTAATATCTAACACAAGGACGAACTCTTCAATTAATATGGACTCCAAGAAGATTGAGGAAAGTTTGAGCACATGAAGGGGGGTTGTTGTTAAGTTGCCTATTCATGGCTTCATTTCACTAGTATTCATCGATCATTATCTTTTCTTATCTCGTGAAAGTCATTCCTGATTGTGTGATTTATGAAATCTCATATCAAGTTGCTTCTCTTCAAGCACAAGCACTTCTTCCTTTTTCAATTTTATCACAAATCTCGCTACTTGTAAAGAAAACTAACTATCATGCCCATTTATGGTGGTTACTTATCACTTCATACTTAATATAATTATATGAAAATAAAAATAAATTTTTTTTCGTACGATTGATCATAACCTAATTCGACTACATCTTGTTACGTAAGATGTTGGTCAGATGATCTACCAACCACAACTTTTTTATCAACAATTATCATAGATTTAGATACTTTTGTCATGTTATAAGATTTTAGCTAGTGTTTGATATTGGAGATCTTCCTTTAATTAGGTAGAGGTTTAAGTTTATTTGGAGGAGGGCCATGCCAAACATTATCGCCACCTTTGCCAAACATTTTAGGGTACCATTTACTCTCAAGTCACAATTAAGCATGAGCTTTAAATACTTGGGGAGGTTTTATATATAGGACAATTAAGGGGTCGTTTGCTTCATGGATTTAAAAATGAGGGTTTTGTAATTTAAAAACCCAAGGATTTATCAAGGATTTGAGGCATCATGGATTTGTAACAATCCTTTGTTTGTTGGGATGTTTTTATCATGGATTTAAAGGTGTGGGATTTACTACTTGAAGTCAAAAATTACATTACTGCCCTTTTCTATATGTTTGACATGTTTATGATATGTACACAAAACAAGGACAAAACTTCAAAATTACCTTACTATATGTTTGACAAGTTTATGATATGTACACAAAACAAGGACAATACATACTAATAAGCATAATGTTGCCACATGGACAATAATAATAAACGAGAAAATTCCGTTTTAACTTTTAACGTAACATAATCAATTACCAATTCTTTGTCCTCCTTTTCAAAAGTAACATATAACAACATATATTATAATCGGGAGAACAAAGAATTACACGTTCCATGAAAAGGTTAAAGAAAACTAGAACACAAGAAATGATATAAAAAATCTAACTCATGTTTGCACATTAATTGAACGTTTATATTATTCATTATTGTTAATTATAATGTATAATAGTTAAATTTGAGGGCAACCTTGGAATATTAAAAGTGCATGAGGGTATATGGGTAAAATCTCATCAAGGATTTATGCCATATTCCAAATCTCACATCAACATGTGGGATTTATAAGTCTGTGGGGCCCACGGATTTGGACCCTTAAAATCCGTGGACCCCACGGATTTGGTCTCCAAAAAAGGTTCAAGCAAACAACGGATTGTACCTAAATCCTTGATAGTTGGTTTTTTGGTACCAAATCCATGTACCAAATCCTTGAAGCAAACGACCCCTAAGTTTTGAACGTGCGATCTTGGGTGGGTGCCCTAACATTTTGCAAAGTGCTTCCCCCAGTTGGTAATATCACGAGTACCAAATACACACACATGCACATGTTGAAAGCAAACTATCCCAAACTTGTGCCATACAAAACCAATGTCCCAAGGTTTTCACGTTTAATTGACTTTCGATTCGAACATATGAAAGAGTTCATTCACAATTGCCATCAGAGGACCTTAATTGAACTCGGGCGACTACTCATCCTGATGGATTGTTGCCTTGCAATATTTGTTTGCCCATTGCTCAACTTACCTTCCTTGACCACTCCTGTATAACCTTTTCTTCTTGTTATACACAGAACAATTTTGAACACTAGATGTTTTCACTGTAGATGAACCTAGTATAACATCAACTGTCTATCAACTAGCTAAATGTGAATTGCGTATCAATCTTAAATGATACTGTTAAACACTATCAACAAAAGAAATCACATTTTTCTAACCAAATCGAGCCAAAGCCAATCAATCTCCGTTTCAAATCAAAGTCCTATCAAGTTATCAAGTAACATCCATATGAATTCCCCATCACCACTCATTATCATTCAAACAAGGGTTCCATCCAATCCTTGCTTCCTCCTCCTCCAGCTAGTTTCCATTGCTGAATTAATGAGCTCGCAACTTCTTTGGCCATCACACGTTACATACATATCTTACACAAAAGTCCAAGAGGCGAGGGGGACAAGAAACAAACCAAAACGTACCACTACATTCAATGAAACCGGGCCATCATCCTATCACCTTCTAAACAGCCTACAACTAAGATGGAATCTCGACGTGAATTTCCATCCGACAACAGGGGCAGTGAGCATTGGTCACGAGCCATGGCAGGAGGCACTTCGAGTGGAACCTATGGGCGCATGGAAGGTGCACCAAATGGTCCCCTGCCCTGAACAAATCCAGGCAAATGGTGCACTCTTCTTGCTCCGCGGCCGTTTTCGTCGCCGCCGCCTTCCATTTCATCATCTTCAGTCTCTCCCACCTCGATGATTTCGCTCCCCACACTTCCGTCTGTAATTCGCCTAGTGGCGACATCGTTCTTGCGTCCACGATTCTCAGAGTCCCAGATTTCACGGCTCGTCTGCAGAACCACAAAAAGAGTGAGTTAGAACCCTTTTATCTTAAAACGTGGAGATTTTTTTAAAAAAAATACTCTAATAAAAGATGAGAATGTCTACATATTTTCGTGGATGACATTTTCTCTAACGTATATCAATATGACAATGTATTTACGAAATCCATCTCACTATATATTTCGACATAGACCAGTAACCATATCTAAAAGAGTATCAAGAGCAAAAGCAACAATAAAGTTGCGAAAACTCAAATACACAATTGTTAGACTACAATTCTTTAGTTTCTGATGACCAATTTTGAGGCAAACTCTATTGAACCATACCCAAAATAACTCTACCTAAGTTGATGCTTCAATGAGTTGAGGCATTAATTCAAGGGACTTTTGGTACCATATAATGAATATTTGCCGCAATCTATCCCAAGAGTTGATTCTGGCGCAAAAATTTTATAACCGGAAAGTGCCCCATAAGGGAAATTTCAATGAGTTCAGATTTGGTTTAGGGACCTTTTGGAATCTGACCATTTCCTCTGAGTTCTAAGCCTCTCGTCCAGTCTTTCTTTGGCCTCCCTGGCTGCTCCTCCCAGCTTCTTGTCCTCCAACGCCTGACTCTGTACATTTCTCTGCCGGGAAACATAAAAATAATCATTTTTAAGTCTAGAAATGGGAATCAACTGAAGACTCTGTTTTCCTTCCCCTGAAGAGAATAGAATCCTCTGTTTCAGTGGGGGAAAAAAAAAAACAGGGGAGTAGTTAGTGATCGCCATTTCAGATGGTTTGCCACTTACCAAAGACGGAATCGAAGTATGGGAGTTCCCTTCGTGTTTACTGGTGTATAAACAGAACGACGGCCTCCGTGTCCCGCCGGTGACGCTCGGAGCATCGCCGCCGCTCTGATGGAACCGTCTTCTTCGGGCACATTCCACGCCGGGCAACATCCCCGCCATCGATTAATCACTACCCAAAAGAGAGGACAAGGGGAAAAACAAAGTCCTACAAAAGAAATCATTGTTTCGTCATCAAAGTTGCCGACTTTAAGCAGAATTTGACTGACCCAGAAGATAGAATTTACCAGGAAAGCAGATTGAATCTGACAACAAACGGTTGGAACATCAACTACCCGTTATAGGCAGGGGAGAAAATCAAAGTGGGTTCAATGAGAAATTGATTAAAATAGGATCTTTATTCTTTGCTGTGGTGGAAATCATTTAGAAGTTTCATGGACAGCTTAACACCAGAGAGTGAAAAACGAGGGCAGAGAGAGAATAAAAGTATCGCTTTCAGAGTTTTCAGTTACCTTTCTTCTTGCTGTGCTTTCTCCCTCGACGAGGAAGAAGAAGAACAGGCGATCCACGTGAGGAACCGACTCTCTAAGACCACCTGTTTCAGCAAATGAATAAAATCTGAAGCAGTTTTGTTTTGTTTTGTATTTCTGAGGTTCTGGTGCTCTTTATGTTGGCTGGTGCTGGGAGGTGGGTGGGTGAGTTGTGGCAAGATTTGGGTAGGAGATTTCTCGTAAAGAGGAGTCAAAATCGGTTCGGTCAGAAGGAAGCCTGACACGGTTGAAACAAATAGACCAATCTAATAGTACGTATTTGATTATTACCGGGTCATTGATCATTTTGCGTTGTGAACCATTGTAATTTGTTCAAGTGGATAGATCAACCCAATATTATTCACTTCATCGCAATTAAGTTTACATAATATCCACATTTTTGTTAGTGGAAAATGTTTTGTGTTCTATACCTGTTTTTCTCCAATATGCTAATCTTGACAAGTAATGAGGCAGAACATGCTTCTTATGCTAATGAATTTGTCATTCATTTCTTGCCATCTCATTTGAGCTTTAATTTCAACCATGAGTATAAATGTATTATGTGGTTCAAGATGACCCAAAAAGCATAATTAAGCAGATTGTAGGGAAAAAAGGAAGAAGAAAAACAATCCTGCCTAAGTTGTGGGATTTCAGATTTGGCATTCGGAGGAAAAAAAAGACACAGAGTGGGCTTTCAGATTTGATGCTCATCGAGCTATTGGCAGGCTCTCAAAATTGGGCTTTTAAGTGAATTTGTCGGTCCAGTTCACTTACCTTAAGCCTCACGTCCAGAAGCTGACTGCGGTGTTTTTGGGCCGAAGAGCAGATGTTGCTCATTGAAAACACAATTTCGTTTATTTATCTTGTTTGTTAGGGACTTAGGGCTATAAAATTCCTAAGGATTGCATTTGTATATAATAGACAATTCCTCCCCGTTCGCGGGTTGTACTGCTCCGATCGTTGTCCCTAGTTCTTTCCAGATTAGGCGATGTGTTCAGGAGCAGCAAGTTAACCCCTTAGGGGGTGGGATTTGTCCCAAAACACCGATTGGTGTAGAATTTGTTGGTAGGCAATTCTTTTGCAAAGGCGAATCCAGTGATGATAGCCGAACAAGTGAAAATACTGCATTCCATTTCGTGGCTGGGACGCGGTGCTCCCTGTTAGAGTGTGGTATAAGATCCAGCATAACCTTCTCCCAACAACTCGAGTTATTGGGATCAACTGGTTCTTGACATGGTATCAGAGCCTAGAACCGAAAGGTCATGTGTTCGAATCTCCACAACCCCCAATATTAACCGTTGTCTTTCAAACACATGGTATGGTGGGCCTGTGCAAACTTCAAGCCCATGGGTTGGCTTTCGTTTGAGGGGGCGTGTTAGAGAATGGTATAAGATCCAGCAAAACCTTCTCCCAACAACTCGAGTTATTGGGACCAACTGGTTCATGACATGGTATCAGAGCCTAGAACCGAAAGGTCATGTGTTCGAATCTCCACGACCCCCAATATTAACCGTTGTCTTTCAAGCACATGGTATGGTGGGCCTGTGCAAACTTCAAGCCCGTGGGTTGGCTTTCGTTTGAGGGGGCGTGTTAGAGAGTGGTATAAGATCCAGCATAACCTTCTCCCAACAACTCGAGTTATTGGGAGCAACTGGTTCTTGACATGGTATCAGAGCTTTCTGTGACCGAAAGGTCTTATGTTCGATTCCCGGTGACCCCCATTTGTTAAGCACATGATATTCTTGTCTTCAGACCTGTGCAAACTTCAAGCCCTTGTGAGTGGCTTTCGTTTGAGGGGGCGTGTTAGTGTTGTGGTATATGATCCACGATTGAACCTCTCCCAACAACTCGAGTTATTGGGATCAACTGAACCTTCTCCCAACAACTCGAGTTATTGGGAGCAACTGGTTCTTGACATGGTATCAGAGCCTAGAACCGAAAGGTCATGTGTTCGAATCTCCACGAACCCCAATATTAACCGTTGTCTTTCAAGCACATGGTATGGTGGGCCTGTGCAAACTTCAAGCCCATGGGTTGGCTTTCGTTTGAGGGGGCGTGTTAGAGTGTGGTATAAGATCCAGCATAACCTTCTCCCAACAACTCGAGTTATTGGGATCAACTGGATCTTGACATGGTATACTGCCCAGAAGCAGCTATTGCGTAGACTTCGATCCAGAAATCCCAGGCAGTCCGATGCGATGTTGCGCGACGGTGCTGATGGCTCTGGTGATCGGAGGATCCAAGGAGATCGCTACGAGTTGTTCGGGTGATTGGAAGTCCTCTCCGGCCCGACTCTCTGTTCAGGTTGGGCGAGATTCGCGGGGGATTCCCTCAGATACGAAATCCGAATACATCCCTGAAAAATCGCTCGCTTCTCCTCCAAGGGAGAATTCCTTCTCCTAATCAAACTCTTCTTTTTGTTCATGGCAGAGGATCACGCCTCTTAGGAGGATTGTCGATGATTAAGCCTTATAAATTGAGGCTTCCGGTGCCTTGCCTGCTATCTAAAACTTCCAGGCAGCTCCAAAAATCTGCAGTGACGAGAGAAGACGATTGGTGGCAGTCCTCGGACCTTGAGTCTCCGGTTTTTTCCTCCGTTCCTCCCGGCCAGTTGCACACGTCTCTGGGTTCTTTGGCAGGTAAAATAGACTTTGCTTCCCTGCTATCTCCCACTTCCGTCCCACAAGAGCCCTCGGTGCTTTCGAGTCCGATTGAGACCCTGTTGGGTTTGTCTTTTGATGGGCTGCTACATCCGCCCCCGTCCTATCCCCCTGCCCCTGCAGGGGGTTTATTTCCTAGTCAGGATGACTATATGCTGACTACTACTGTCCCAATTCAAAAATCGGACATTGCCCATGATTCTTATACCCTTTCTCTGCCTCCTTGTCAGGTGAATATAATGTCACGAATCGCGGAAGATCAGGTGGTGGAATTCAAGCTTGATGAGGTTCAGTCGGTGAAATTTCGCACTGCGCGGACGCTCTTGGGAAGACTATTCTCGGAGAACAGTTTCACGAATGCAGAGTTAAGGGAGGGTCTCATTGATGCATGGCGTGTGAAAGGAAACCTTCGGGTTACGCTTACTAAATTTGGGCTGTTTGAGGTGGTGCTTCCTAATGAGGAGACAAGGGTGTGGATACTGAAAAAATCACCATGGATTGTCAAAGATAGGATTTTCCATCTTCGATCCTGGATCTCATCCATCTCCAAAGCTAATTTTGATGAACTGGCCATTGCTCCCTTCCGGGTGCAGCTCTGGAATGTCAGAGATGAATGTTGCACTAGAAAGTTTGGCCGGAAGGTCGCCACTGGAACTGTTGGCCAGATCTTGGAGGCAGATGTTTTTGCGGCAAGAGATACGGAGGAGCGTTTTGTCAAAGTGCTTGCTCTCATTAACTTTACAAAACCTCTGCGCTCTCAGCTCATGGCGGTCAGTGAGGAGCTTGGTCAATTCTGGGTAAATCTCAAGTATGAGTTTTTACCGACTATTTGCTTCCATTGTGGCCGAGTGGGGCACTCAAAGCGTGACTGTGTGTTCGACCCACCCTCGGGCAAGGAACGATTCGTCCCTCACATGTCAACAAGGAAACTGGGAAGGAAGCTATTCCTGGAAGAGGAAGACTGCACGAATTATCGAAATACTAGTAAATCTGTGTGGGTGAACAGGAATGTACAAGTGTACAATGGAGGGAATGCTAGAAATCCTCGAGGTCGAATGCAGGACCTTCCTACAGGGCATACTGACCGATCTCAGGTTCATGGTCTGGCCCCCTCTGTGACTGATGAAGTGACAATTCAAGCTAGCAAGAAGGCACAACCTAGGCCGCGTGAACCAATGAATAAATTGGTTGGGAATCGTGCTAGTCCCCAGCGGTTTGTGTTCAAGACATCCCCGCGGGTGAAGGTTGGTGGTGTGGTGAGGCAGGCCCAGAAAAAGCAGTCCCCCAGAAAGGGTGCTTCTCTTCCTCGGCAGGAGGCCAAGGGTCGCCATCAGCCAGCTAGGCGAGCAAAGCAGGCTTCTCAACGCCAGAAGAAAGCGGATCATATGGTGGAGGTCCTGGAGCATTCCCGGAGGCGTCAATTGATCTTGCAAGATGAGTCGGAAGAGGAGGAACTGGCGGAGACTAAAGGGGCAGGTCCCCTTTCGCTGAAGGAATCCTCCAAGATTCGGGTTCGCCCACGGCTGAGGAAAGTGGGTGAGAGTAACCTGGTGGCAGTAGCCAAACAGGATGTGAGCCCTGCGGCTCTGCATGGGCTGGAGGATGAGGAGGTTGCGGTTCCGCTGGCTGATCCGGTTGAGGCGCATCAACAAGAGGATTCTGATTCTGATGGAGACCCCTCGCTTGGAGCCTTTGAAATTAAACGACGGTCCCCAGGTGGGGTCTCCTCGAAGGCTTGCCAAAACATGAAAGGGCGTGTCCATCAGGTGGTGAAGGCTTTTGAGGCTGGGCTTGTTTTCGAGCGGGAGGACGAGGCTCCTCCTCCACGGTCGGATGTGACTCTGGATGAGTATGTGACTAATTTTATGGACCCAATCATGCTGAATCGGAAGCGGGGGTTAGATGCGCTGGACGGGGATGTTGGTGACCCCCCTACTCCGAAGAAATAATTTGTGGAAGCTGCTGATGATTTGGAAAAGGTGGAGGAAGCCAGCCTAGAATGGCCCCAGAATGATAAATGAGGCTACTGGCCTGGAACGTGAGAGGAATTGGGCCGTCCCTCACCTTCCAAACTGCTTTAGGGCTTGTTCTTTCCAATAAACCGGAACTCGTTTTCTTTTCGGAGACTCGATCGAGCCGGCGTGTAGTGTCCCGTCGTATGCGGGGTTTAGGTTTTGATAGTTCGCATTGTTTTTTTGTTGATGCAGTCGATGCATCTGGTGGTTTAGTGTTGGCTTGGTCCCCCGGGGTTGATGCTTCGGTGTTTTTTTATTCCAACTTTTGTATTTCTTCGCAAATTAATGAAGGGGATCTTTCTTATGTGGTGATCTTTGTCTATCTTAGCTCCAATGTTGCTCTTCGAACTTCCCAATTGGCTCAGTTGCAAGGTATTTGTGCGAATATTAGTCACCCTTACGTCCTCATTGGTGACTTCAATACAATTCTTAATGCGGGTGAAAAAGATGGGGGAAGGGTTTGGACTGGTGCCCAGGCCATCAGCCTTCGGGCCTTTGTTCATGATTTGGGACTCCATGACCCGGGTTTCCAAGGTGATCAATTCACTTGGACTAACAAACGTATGGGTGCGGATTGTATTCGAGAACGTCTGGATAGGGCTCTTTGCTCCCAATCCTGGATTGATGTCTATCCAGAGACTCTGGTCAAGCACTTTACGGATCAGGGGTCGGATCATCGGGCCCTGCTGCTCGCGGGTAAACCATATACTCGAAGTAGTCGACCTCTTTTCCGGTTTGATGCCCGCTGGGCGGATAATCCTGAAGTGAGGGCTATGGTCCAGTATGTCTGGCAGGAGGAAGTCCAAGGTACCCCTATGTTTTGGCTGTGAGAGCGTCTGAAGAAACTCCGTCACTTGCTTTATGATTGGAGCAGGGCGGGCACAACTAATTCTCTTCGGAATATCAAGACGCTCCAAGCTGAAATTGATAGGATAAAGTCAATTCTTCCAGTTGATTGGGATGCGATTAGGATCCTCGAGGCGGAGCTTTCCCGTCAGTGGGATGCGGAGGAGGTCTTCTGGCAGCAAAAGTCCAGGGTGAAATGGTTGAAAAAAGGGGATCAAAACTCAGCTTATTTCCATATGGTTACCAGGGCGCGGCGAAAAAGGAACTTTGTTTCCGGGCTCCGAAATGAGGAGGGGGAATGGGTCACTGCCGAGACCGGAAAGGCTGCTATAGCCACCAATTTCTACCAGAACCTGTTTACTTCGGAAAACCAGGTTCCCAATATGACTGAGAGGGTGGCAAATCTGCCGATAGCTCATAGTGTAACTCCGCAAATGAAGGCGCATTTGACGGCAGAGGTTTTACCAAGTGAGGTTCGGAGTACGGTCTTCTCCATGGGATCAAAGCAAGCCCCGGGGTCGGATGGTTTTACAGGGAAAGTCTTCAAAGCTTTCTGGGATATTGTGGGCACTTCGGTGGTTGAAGCAGTGATTTCCTTCTTTACCTCGAGTCGGATGCTGCGGAGTTTTAACCATACCTGGCTCACATTGATCCCTAAAGTTGATTCAGTGGAAACAGTTCGTCAATTGCGACCGATCAGCCTCTGTCAGTTTGTTTACAAAGTAATTACTAAAATTATGGCAGAACGGCTTGCTAGCATGCTTCCTCAAATTATTTCGGAAGGCCAAAATGGTTTTATCGGGGAATGGCAGATTATTGATAACATCCTTATAGGACATGAACTAATGCATTATCTAAAAATAAAAAAGCAAGGAAAGAAGGGGTACATGGCTCTGAAGGTTGACATGGAAAAGGCCTATGATAGAGTCGAATGGCCATTTCTTCTTGCAGTTTTGGAGAAGATGGGTTTTAGTTCAGTCTGGCGAGGGTGGATTCACGAATGTCTCCGCTCCTCCTCTTTCTCGGTCCTGATGAATGGTACTCCCTCGGGTTACTTCACCGCTTCTAGAGGCCTTCGTCAAGGGGATCCGCTTTCTCCGCTCTTGTTTGTGCTCTGCACGAAG